GTGGGGGGGGTGGGGGTGGGGGGATCTTTGCTGTTGTTTGTTGTACAGTGCGCTCCATTCTCGGGCTCCTGTCGAATGAATGTTTCATGCATAATACCGGGGGGGTTGTTGGGTTATATTTACGCGATCTAACCCCCAAAAAACCGTGTGTTATGGATGATGTCCGTCGCGAAAGCGTCCTTCGCGTTAAACAGGGAGCGATTGCAAATGTTGTCGATTTGCTCTCCAACACACCGGTGTGCTGTGCTAGTAACACAAAGCTTACTAATTGGCTGTGTCGGGTGGTGGCGGGTTTAACGACACATTTATATTCACGCGATGTAACCCAACAAAACAACTTCTATCAGGGAGTTGTTTGTTGACCGTGAGTCGTTTTGGCCGCGTCAAATTACAAGCGAAGCCCCTGACATTTGCTAACCACGTTGATAAAAACAAGTGTCAACGTGAATGTGCCTCGAAGATATCTGGCATTATTCATTCGTCAAATTACCATTACCGAAATCTACGTCGGTGTTTCGTACCGCCGCGTAATAAATTAACGCAATTACCGCTGCCCTGAATGGACTGCGCCGCTAGACTGTGGTGCCGACTCTGAGACGAAATATCCTCCGCAAATCTGTTTCATTAACCATATTAAAAAAAAAAACTCACTTGTAAATGCAATTGCGAAATGTGTGAGCACCGAAATATAGTAACATCGGAGATATACATCGTCATCATCGTCAGCCATGGGCAATCCACTGCTGGATGAAGGCCTCCTACCCAAGCCAGCGCCACGTCTCACGATCCTGTGATTCGTAAACGACCCAAGTCCAACAACGTCACTCCGATCGATCTCAGAGCTCCGTCTTGTCGGTGAACGTCAGCCAGATCAATTCCATTCCTCGCTTACGTGAACCCATAACAATCATCATGATGACGATGATCATCTAAGGGACAGTCCTTTGTGAATCCCCTGCTGGATTAAGGCCTCGGCACGCCCTATCAGAGAAGGGGGTGCTCTGTGCGTACATACGTATGTTGAACAGTTCCTAAGAAATTACTTTTCAATCGAGATGATGTCAAAGTGCGTAGATCCGGTGGCTTTCTAATAGCGGAGGGAGGCGCGTTCCAGACGGCCGCAGAAGCGTTTGACCTGTACTTGGCCGCGCCGGTCGTCGCTCGCCACGGATGGCGAGTGGCCAAGACGTGGACTCGAACTCGGGGTGGCCCGAACCGAGTGTTTCAACGTCCGCGCCAACGCTCCTACCAAGCAAACGCTCGCTCACACTCGCACGCTCCGTCGCTCGCACGCTCAGCGGCACGGACACCGCGGCTCCTTCCCACGGCACGGCCAGCTCGACCTCGGGGGTGGGGTGGGGGGGTGGGGGGAGTGGGGGGTGGGGGAGAGGGGGGTGGGGGGGATACCCCCGAGGCGCGCCGCGTCAACGTCACGACCCCCCCCCCCCCCCCCCGTGTCACCACGAGGCGGCTTGTCGCAATGTTGTTTGGTGTTGTTTTATTGCCTCGGCTGAGCAACAGCGCCCAAAGGGCCGAAACGCCGAGCGGCCAGCAACAAGCGGCGCGACCAGAATCCACGGCGTGTCTGCTGCTGGCGTGAGGCGACGTCGCGACACGCGCGTCACAGGCCACGTGACTGTCTCTGGCGAGCCTCGCTGTGGTTGCGTTCCCATTCACTTCCCTCCGCTCGCCCCTCCGCTCCCTGGCATCCCTCCGCTACCCCTCCGTGATCCCCGGTGTGCGCGCGAGCGCGTACCGTGAACTTCTTTCGCGCCGTACGTCGCCGGCCGTGTTCGTCGGAGGTGCGGGGAGAAGGGCGACGATCCGCGGCCACTCATTCCTCGGCCCTTGACCGCCCCTGTCATCTAAGTCGGTTTTTGAAACTACGTTAAGCATCTTGAATAAAGGTGCTCTTTAAATATAAAATAAGCCTTTTACAAATGAAACGTCGTTAATCTGATTGTTAAATGTTGGTGCGGAAGTTCCAGCTTTGTTTTGCTGCGTCGAGTGGTGGAGGTTTTGGCCAGGTCACGACACAAATTCGGGCAAATCACGACGCGGCCTGAGCCTAAAGCCAATTACGAAGTTGCGATCGATAAGTCGACACGTGCCTTGAATAGAGCGCGCAAGGCTGTCGTGGGGGGACACTGGGCGACGATGGGAGAGAGGCTTTCAAAGTGGAGCGGTGCCGGGGAGGAAGCAGAAAGAGAAGTGGAGTGGCCTGGAGTGGGTGGGTGGGTGGGTGAGTGGTGGGTGGGTGGGTGAGTGAGTGAGTGGGTGGGTGGGTGGGTGGATGGGTGGGTGAGTGGGTGGGTGGGTGGGTTAGTGAGTGGGTGGGTTAGTGAGTGGGTGGGTTAGTGAGTGGGTGGGTGGGTTAGTAAGCAGGTGGGTGGGTGAGTGGGTGGGTGGGTGGGTTAGTAAGCAGGTGGGTGGGTGAGTGGGTGGGTGGGTGGGTGAGTGAGTGGGTGGGTTAGTAAGCAGGTGGGTGGGTGAGTGGGTGAGTGGGTGGGTGGGTGAGTGGGTGGGTGGGTGGGTGAGTGAGTGGGTGGGTGGGTTAGTAAGCAGGTGGGTGGGTGAGTGGGTGGGTGGGTGGGTGAGTGAGTGAGTGGGTGGGTGGGTTAGTAAGCAGGTGGGTGAGGGTGGGGGGTGAGTGGGTGGATGGGTGAGTGATGGGTGAGTGGGTGGGTTAGTAAGCAGGTGGGTGGGTGAGTGAGTGAGTGGGTGGGTGGGTTAGTAAGCAGGTGGGTGGGTAAGTGGGTGAGTGGGTGGGTGAGTGGGTGAGTGGGTGGGTGGGTGAGTGAGTGGGTGGGTAGTAAGGGGTGGGTGAGTGGGTGAGTGGGTGGGTGGGTTAGTAAGCAGGTGGGTGGGTGAGGGGTGAGTGGGTGAGTGGGTGGGTGGGTGGGTGGGTGAGTGGGTGAGTGAGTGGGTGGGTGGGTGGGTGAGTGGGTGGGTGGGTGGGTGAGTGAGTGAGTGGGTGGGTGGGTGGGTGGGTGAGTGGGTGGGTGGGTTAGTAAGCAGGTGGGTGGGTGGGTGGGTGAGTGGGTGGGTGGGTGAGTGAGTGAGTGGGTGGGTTATTAAGCAGGTGGGTGGGTGAGTGGGTGGGTGGGTGAGTGAGTGAGTGGGTGGGTTATTAAGCAGGTGGGTTGGTGAGTGGGTGGGTGGGTGGGTGAGTGAGTGGGTGGGTGGGTTAGTAAGCAGGTGGGTGGGTGAGTGAGTGAGTGGGTGGGTGAGTGGGTGAGTGGGTGGGTGGGTGAGTGGGTGGGTGGGTGAGTGAGTGGGTGGGTTAGTAAGCAGGTGGGTGGGTGAGTGGGTGAGTGGGTGAGTGGGTGGGTGGGTGGGTGAGTGAGTGAGTGAGTGGGTGGGTGAGTGAGTGAGTGGGTGGGTGGGTGAGTAAGTGGGTGAGTGGGTGGGTGGGTGAGCCAGGGAGTGTATTGGTGGTGGTGCTGCTGCTGCTGGTGGTTGACCACGTTATGGATGAGACCAAACCTTCAGCCCGATCGTGTGGCTCGGAACACGTCGCAGTCAGGGGCGAGGGCGAGGTTTGTAAACGCCACGCAATAAAGTATCTAATATCTCATGAACAATAAATACATCAACGGCGTTGCAATCTCGTCCGCTCTGCAGTCTCGTCCGCTCTGCAGTGCGCGTGCGGCGGTGGTGTCAGAAGACTGAAACTCTCTCAACCTTCTCCTCCTCCTCCTCTCCAGAGTCCAGTCTCCCAAGAACTCCCCTTCTCCCCGGCCTACCACGGAGGCACCATCTCTGCTCCCCCTCCGCTTCCTCCTCCTCCGCAATCCAAATTGATTTAAAATGCCACTGACAGGAGCAGCTGCCCCCCCCCCTCCCATGGGGGGCGGAAGGGGGGAGGTCGATCTGCGCTGTCTCTGTGACTCATCAAGAGCAATCTGGAGGCTCTGATGATGTGCGTTTGTGTGTGCACGTGTGCGTCTGTGTGTGTGTGCGCACGTGTGCATCTGTGTGTGTGTGTGCACGTGTGCGTCTGTGTGTGTGTGTGCGTGTGTGCGTCTGTGTGTGTGTGTGCACGTGTGCATCTGTGTGTGTGTGTGCACGTGTGCGTCTGTGTGTGTGTGTGTGCGTGTGTGCGTCTGTGTGTGTGTGTGCACGTGTGCGTCTGTGTGTGTGTGTGCACGTGTGCGTCTGTGTGTGTGTGTGCACGTGTGCGTCTGTGTGTGTGTGTGCACGTGTGCGTCTGTGTGTGTGTGTGCGCACGTGTGCGTCTGTGTGTGTGTGTGCACGTGTACGTCTGTGTGTGTGTGTGCACGTGTACGTCTGTGTGTGTGTGTATGCACGTGTGCGTCTGTGTGTGTGTGCGCACGTGTACGTCTGTGTGTGTGTGCGCACGTGTACGTCTGTGTGTGCGTGTGCACGTGTGCGTCTGTGTGTGTGCAGGTGTGCGTCTCTGTGGGTTTGTGCAGGTGTACGTCTGTGTGTGTGTGTGTGCACGCCAGCTGCGCGTGCGTCTGTGTGTGTGTGTGCACGGGCGTGGTGCTGGCCACCCACCCCCTCGTGTGCCGTGCCGGCCTACACAGGAGCTGCTGCTGCTACTCGCCAACAGCGCTTGCCCCAACAATCTGTCGATTCCTCACGTGGGATCTCCGTTGTGTGCGCGGGGAGCGGTGGCGCGGCAGTTAGTGAGCCGCGCTACTGAACCGGCGAACCGAGTTCGACTCCTGCTCACGCCCGACACCAGCGACGATCGTCTGAACTGGTCCTGAGCCTCCCCCTAGGTTGACTCAGCCTCAAAATGAGTACCTGGTGCAGCGGTGGTGTGCACAAACATCGCTGCTCGAGAGACAAAGGCGGCCCTGATAGGCGCTCGCTTACAGCGCTCGCCCCGACAGTCAGCGGCTACACGTGGGGGGGCGGGGGGGGTGGAGTGGGATGGGGGGGATCTGTGTGCGCATCACGTGGAGGCTCCTACAAAGGCTACCTGGCGGTGGTGGGGGGGCGGATCTTGATCTTTATCTCTTTGTCTTCAGATAATCACCCCGTTCCGGAGGCTCATCCTCTGCGCCGACAGCCGCAAGGAGATGGAAGATTGGATCGCCGCCCTCAAGTCGGTGCAGAGCACCGAACCCTTTCAGGTCAGCAGGGCAATGGGAGGGCCGGCGGGGTCACTGGGTCCACCGGGTCAAACCACTTCTCCCCCGCACCTCCCCCCCCCCCCCCCACCAGCGTGAGAGGTAGCACAGTCCACATCAAATGCGCCCCGCTACCCCCGGCCAACTGCGGTGTCCGCGAGGTCGCGCCAGGTCAGCTCTGCGGCAGCGAAATCCGCGTCGCGGGGGCTTTCTTTGAATTGCGGGCCGACAAACGACGGCGGCCGCGATCGGTCAATGAGAGCGCCACGGGAGGGGGCGGCCACGGGAGGGGGCGGCCACGTGGCTCTCGGAGGTCAGGGACGCCGAGAGCCTCGGACCGTGCCGGGTGATGCTCGTGCGGGGCCGGTAGCGTCTGTTAGAAAGGGGCCCTAAATAAAAAATAAAACCCACGAATGTTTAATTTGCACGGTAAAGTAATTGTATTTTTTATTTGCTATACAGCCAGATAATTCGACAAAATGCTGACCTTAAACACCCAGTCATTCGTAAAAGTTGAAGGCGGTATAGTACTATAGTAATAGAGCAAGTGCAGAATCACTGAACCGGAATTGATAGCTTGAAAGCATTTAGCGCGGGGCCCTTTAAAGTGCGGGGCCCGTAGCTACTACACATGCAGCGACTTGTGCTGCTACGGGGATAATCCGGCACTGGCCTGCGTTTCAATCCGGGTATCAGCCACCGGTCCCCGGTTAAACTAAAGACCTCTTTAACCAAAATACTTTTTTATTTCACCAGGCAAGACCCACTGAGCTGCGTCGCTCTTCTTCAGAAGTGACCTGGTCGCAAATGAAAGCTCAACAAAGTGGCTAATTATACTGTGGACATTTATAGCAGCCAAACACTCGAAACGCGTGATGCTGATTCTAAATGCGGAGGGGAAAAAAACAGAGGACCTGAAAAAGATTCCACACGACCACGGGGAAAGAGATATGCACACTCCAAATATGCAGCACCAGGCGACAGGGTAGTGGTGGAACCCACGACCTCCTGCATACCAGGCGAGGGAGTTAACATCTCTCTACCGCGGCACCGAGTTTTCAAGAGTAGCGAGTTGATGGCCTCAGTCCGGTCACCGGTACCTTTACAGCAGCAACAACCAACAACGGCATCCAATTTGGGTCTGCGCTTAATTTGGCTAAATTGCGGCTCTGAGAATGTGAAACTCGGGCTTACTCTCTCACGTGGCAGAGCGAGTGATCCACATTTAAGTAAAACGCCTCTGACAGGACGAACAGTCACTTGAAGGGATCTCGGAGGTCGCTCTGTGATATCCACTTCTGCGGGCTGTTCTCCCGTGCGCGAGATTTCCGCGGCTGCGCAATCGGGACGACGATGATGACGACGAGAATAATAATAATATAATACAATTGGGGAAGACTTCAAATAGATCTGCTATGGCGGCGAAGTGGGTGCCAGAGCCGGTCTCCCGCGAGGCGGCATGTGATTTATTATTTTGGCTGGAAACACCCGGAGCGGAGTCGGCTTCCAAGCTGCCCCGGAGCCGGAGCACTCTGCTGCTTGGCTGGACAAGTCCATGGTGGGGAGTGGGTGGGGGTGGTGGGATCGCACCTGGGTCTCAGGTCATCACGGGACAAGGTGAAGGTGGCCCGGTCGCAGACGGAAACACCTGATGCTTGACCAATCGGGAAAGGCGCACACACAACCAGACACTCGGCCCATTTAGTTATTCCTGTGCAGGCAGATTACGGGGGGATAATATTGCAACACTTGCGGGTTTATACGGCGTCTAAATGTGACCGCAACCCAAGACGTTGTAAACAAACAGTGGGCTCGTTTATTTTTATGATAGAGGCAGCCAGTCATGGGCAACGGAAGGATTTGAGCCTGAAACTTGAACTGGGAACAAGAGAGTCTAGCGGTCTCTGTGTGAGTATGGGTCTCTGTGTGAGTCTGGGTCTCTGTGTAAGTCTGTGGGTCTCTGTGTGAGTCTATTGGTCTGTGGGTCTCTGTGTAAGTCTGTGGGTCTCTGTGTGGGTCTGTGGGTCTTTGTGTGAGTCTGTAGGTCTCTGTGTGAGTCTGGGTCTTTGTGTGAGTCTGGGTCTCTGTGTAAGTCTGTGGGTTTCTGTGTGGGTCTGTGGGTCTCTGTGTAGGCCTGTGGGTCTCTGTGTAAGTCTGTGCGCCTCTGTGTGAGTCTCTTGGGGGGAGAGGGGGGGGGGCTATGTACGGTACAAAAGAAGTTCAACACACACACGAAGGCACAAGTCCCCACCCCGTCCACCGCGTTGCCCCCCCCCCCTTCCTTCTCAGGCAGTGCACTACAGCATGGACCACTTCTCGGGGGCCCACCACTGGTACGCGTGCACGCACGCGCGCCCCACCTACTGCAACGTGTGCCGCGAGGCGCTGTCGGGCGTCACGTCGCACGGCCTCTCCTGCGAAGGTGGGGCCTGTAGCATACGTTATAAAGGGACCCTAAATATATTTTTTAAAACACGTAAATATTAAAATACAACATTTTTACTTGCACAGTAAAGTAATTGTATTTTTTCATTCGCTATACAGCCAGATAATACGACTAATCGCTAACCTTAAACATGCAGTCGTTCGTAAAAGTTGAAGGTGGTATAGTACTATAGTAATAGAGCAAGTACAGAATCACTGAACCGGAATTGACCCTTGAAAGTGCGGGGCCTGTAGCATGTGTAGCACCTTGTGCTGCTACGAGGATAATCCGTCACTGGCCCAAAGGCAGAGTCGGCATATGTCGCTCGCCCGTGCGTCCGTCCGTCTGGGCGAGTCCGTGTGCGTCTTGCCGCTTGTGACGGGGGGCCAGCGCCCCTCACCCCCCCCCCCCCCCACCTCGCGCGGCATTGCCAGCGACCGCTCTCCCCATGGTCCCCCAATCTGTGCCGGTTGTGGCTCCATGGAGCCCCCCCCGACCCCGCCGATGAGAACGTCATGCGGCGTAACGCCGGCTGGCTCCTGGGGGTCGCTCCTCGTCCTCCGCGTGTCGGGAGGCGAACGTCGCCGAGCCGTCCTGCGCTTTGCGTGCATTGCAGTGTGCAAGTTCAAGGCCCACAAGCGCTGCGCCGTGCGCGCCACCAGCAACTGCAAGTGGACGACGCTCGCCTCCGTCGGCAAGGACATCATCGAGGACGAGGACGGGGTAGGCGCCATCACCGCCGTCGTCTTTGTCGTCGTCACGATCGCCGCTCGCCGTCGTCGGTGCCGCTTACCCCCCCCCCCCATCACTGCCATCGTAATCGTCGTCGTTGGCATCCTCGTCGATATCATTCGCCGTGTCATAATCATTGCGTTGTGATAATCATGTCATGTTCGTCGTGTCACATTCGCCACTTTGGTCGTACGTTACCTGTTTGGCCGCGCGTTTGCAGATGAATGACAAAATAGCATCACGACATGCATGCTTTTAGATTAACCTGATTGTTATGATTCTGATTGATTGTTATGATTCTGATTGTTATGATTCTGATTGTTATGATTGTGATTGTCTTCCACATTTCATGATGAGAGAATTATCATTCATGTACGGGCGCCTTGGTTTAAGCAAGACACCTTTGACTGATTTGATCATCACCTTCATCGTAATCTTCTTCGTCCTGATTCGCATTGTCATAATCATGGTCATCATTATCATCCCCATCATCGCCATCTTCAGTTTCGTCATCATCATCATCACCATGATCATTGTAATCATCACTGTCATCATCCTATTTCCACTCGTCATCATCATCATCATCAGTGAGTCAGGCTATTCCTTGTCCTCCTACCGGATGCCTTACGGCACCGATTCGTTTGAGGAGGCTCGCCGCGAGACTTTGGTGCGTGTGATAAATCTGACTCGATTGTTTTAATGATCAAGTGACGTGGTAGAGGGCACTGCAGCAAACTCCGGTCACCCTTTTGGCTGGGCCATCGAACAAAGGCGGCGGTCACCGCATCGCGCGGCGCTTTCAGATGCGCTTCTGCGGCCGTCTGGAACGCTCTTCCTTACGATATTAGGAAACCACTGGAGCTACGCACGTTTAAATCATCATCTAGATTTAGAAACTAATTTCTTGATAACTGATTTTTTTGTGTTTAGTTTGTTGTCCTTTCCCTTGCACGTTTGGCTACGTGCGGTGCGAAAGAAGTTCAACGTACATCATCACAATGTCCCCCGTCTTCGTTAAGCACTACGCCCCCCTCCTCTCTGCCTTCAAGTCCCTCCTCAACTCCTGCCTCTTCAACCCGCGTGCAATCACGCTCCTTGCATTGCTCCTTCGTCTCATCTCTCCGTCCCTTGAGTGAGCGAAGGGGTGAGAGGGTGAGCAAGTGAGTCGTGAGCGAGCGGGGAGGTGGGCGAGTGAATGGGTGAGTGCGTGGGTGATCAAGTGGTGGACGAGTGCATGAGCGTTCGAGCGAGTGGGTGAGTGAGCGTGCGAGCCAGAGCTCTGCCCTCTGCCATTCCCTCTCGTTTTCCTCCCTGCACTCTGAGACGTTCACGACGTTACGGCCGCATTATGAGCGTCGTCCGAACGTCGTCCGAACGTCATCCGAACGCCGTTGTCGTCGTCGGTGCAGCTGGCGATGGCGCACCAGTGGCTGGAGGGGAACCTGCCGGTGAGCGCGCGCTGCGTGGTGTGCGACAAGGCGTGCGGCAGCGTCCTGCGCCTGCAGGACTGCCGCTGCCTCTGGTGCAAGGCCATGGTACCCTCACCCCCCCCCCACCCTCGCTTCCCCCACCCTCGCTCCCCCCACCCTCACCCCCCACCCTCGCTCCCCCCACCCTCACCCCCCCCACCCTCGCTTCCCCCACCCTCGCTCCCCCCACCCTCACCCCCTACCCTCGCTCCCCCCACCCTCGCTCCCCCCGCCCTCGCCTCCCACCCTCACCCCCCAAGACCGCCCCACCACCCTCGCCCCCCAAGACCGCCCCACCACCCTCGCCCTGTGTGCCTGTTGAGGGACTGGGCGTGCGATCAGTGACCGTGCCGTGGTATTCTAAACACGTGTGTCTGTGTGTCTATGTGTCTGTGTGTCTGTGTGACTGAGCCGAGATCGTGCCGTGATATTCTAAACACGTGTGTCTGTGTGTCTATGTGTCTGTGTGTCTGTGTGACTGAGCGGTGACCGTGCCGTGGTATTCTAAACACGTGTGTCTGTGTGTCTATGTGTCTGTGTGTCTGTGACTGAGCCGAGATCGTGCCGTGATATTCTAAACACGTGTGTCTGTGTGACTGAGCGGTGATCGTGCCGTGGTATTCTAAACACGTGTGTCTATGTGTCTGTGTGACTGTGTGTCTGAGCAGTGACTGCCGTGATATTCTAAACACGTGTGTCTGTGTGTCTGTGTGACTGTGTGACTGTGTGTCTATGTGACTGAGCGGTGATCGTGCCGTGATATTCTAAACACGTGTGTCTGTGTGTCTGTGTGTCTGTGTGTCTGTGTGTCTGTGTGACTGTGTGTCTGTGTGACTGAGCAGTGACTGCCGTGATATTCTAAACACGTGTGTCTGTGTGTCTGTGTGTCTGTGTGACTGTGTGACTGTGTGTCTGTGTGACTGAGCGGTGATCGTGCCGTGATATTCTAAACACGTGTGTCTGTGTGTCTGTGTGTCTATGTGTCTGTGTGACTGAGCGGTGATCGTGCCGTGATATTCTAAACACGTGTGTCTGTGTGGCTGAGCAGTGATCATGCCGTGGTATTCTAAACACGTGTGTCTATGTGTCTATGTGTCTGTGTGACTGAGCAGTGACCGTGCCGGGTCGATCTTCTTCAAATCAGTACGGGGATTCCTGTCACGATTTGCGGATCGAAAAATCCCATTAGAGGCATTTTTGGCTATTAGCCCGCCCGTTGACGACCTTTGGCTGCATCACTCGTAAGTGTCGCCCGCGTCACCCGTGGGACGTACGTCTGCCCTCTCCCGCAGGTGCATTCCGCTTGCAGGGAGCATTACAGCCGCAAGTGCCCGCTGGGCCAGTGCAAGGTGTCCATCATCCCGCCGACGGCGCTCAACAGCATCGACTCGGACGGTGAGCGAGGAGCCGCGTTCCGTGTCGAGCGACGGGCCCGGCCGGCACGGGGTGGGGATGGCGGCCGGGGTCGCCGTCACCTGGAGATGACGAATACTCGACACGTTCCGTGCCAGTGACAACTCCGCTGTGTGCGTGTGCGTGCCACGGGTTGACTGGCTTCAACGGTCAGTCAAAGCATGGCACCTGGATCTGTCCCGTGACCTCCTGCCAGCGGGCATTCGAGACTTCACGTGGCCTTAAAGTGCACCTAGCCTGGCACGAGCTCAATGGTGACGTCGCCGCCACTTAGTTGTGAACGGCGGTTGATGTTGTGTGTTTGCTTGTATGTGGTGGGATTGTTGGATACTCAAGTGACAAAGGCGTCACTGTCACTTAGTATGGGAACGGCGGTTGTCGTTAATTTAAAAACATCTTAACCCGTACTCATTCTGAGACATCTGCAAGTTGCAGGGTGGGTGTCCCGTTCACCGCCGGTGAGCGTTAATTTTATGTAGAGAGGAGTAGCGCCGCTGTTTTTGAAGACGTCGTGATCACCGCTGAGAACCGAAGCGACACGACCACCATACTGTACAATAGCTGGCGCCAAACTGTGCCACATGCTCTCCCGCATGGCCTTGTGGGAGCCTCGCCTTGTGTACCGATAAAGTTATTTTAGTTCAGTTTGTATTCCAATTCTGTTCCGATGACGTACGCCATCGGAAGAGAATCTGAAGAATCATTGATGACGCCCACGTACGTCATGGGTAATGGCCCCACTTCCCCATAGCGCGTAAAGAGAGGCCAGTGGAGAGTGGCCGATGAGGCTTGGAGACTGCACCTGTTGACACCATGGGGCCCGTGATAAGAATTTAATTTTTGTTTTCCCAATGAGCAGTTCCATTTATTTGTTTAATTTATTTTGTCGCTGTATATTTGTGTTACCTGCTGCCGGTGCAGCTGTCTGCAATGTTGTGATTTAGTCGCTGCTGTAACTTCCATCTTTTGTCCACCAAGGTTCGACACAGATTATTCTTTTGTCAACATAGAGACCCACAGAGACATGTAGAGACACATGGAAATACATCGAGACCCATAAAGACACAGAGATACATATATACGCCCACAGATAACCATAGAGCTACATAGAGACCCATAAAGATACATAGAGATACAAAGAGACCCATAGAGACCCATAGAGACACATAGAAACCCATAGAGATACAAAGAGACCCATAGAGACACATAGAGATACATATAGACACATAGAGATACAAAGACCCATAGAGACACATAGAGATACAAAGAGACCCATAGAGACACATAGAGATACAAAGAGACTCATAGAGACACATAGAGATACAAGAGACCCATAGAGACACATAGAGATACTAAGAGACCCATAGAGATACAGAGAGACCCACGGCCCTCCGCTGGGTCATTTTTGAAAATCAGCTTGGAGCCGAATGTTTCTTACAAAGCATGAACAAAGACACGGAATCAATCAAAGATGAAGAGTTACACCATCAGTAGCTATTGTGCAGCAGGGAAACCCTCCAGACGGTAAATGTACACAGCCATAGCGTTCTGGGTGTTCACAGCAGTAGCGTTCTGGGTGCAAATATTTCCCGGGTCACTCATCGACGGTCGTAGAGATCACGTGACTAGTCGTAGCCACACACCACGTGAGAAGATCACAATAAACTATCTTTATTTTACCAGGTAAGGCCCACTAAGCTATGCAGCTCTTTTTCAGACGTGACCTGGCCACAAATTATAGCTCAGCGAAGTGGCTCATCACGTGGAAATGTACAGCAGCCAAATGCTGCAAATGCGTGACGTCGATTCTAAATGTGGAGGGGAAAAAACGAAGAAAAACCGACGCGACCATGGGGAGAGAGAGAGACACACACAAACTTCAAATACACAGCAGCAGGCATCGTCAGGGTCAGGATCGAACATCACGACCTCCCGCGCACCAGGCGAGGTAGTCAACATCTCGGTGTGTGCCGCAGGCTTCTGGAAGGCCACGTGCCCGCCCTCCGTGACGAGCCCGCTGCTCGTGTTCGTCAACTCCAAGAGCGGCGACAACCAGGGGGTCAAGTTCCTGCGCAGGTTCAAGCAGCTGCTGAACCCGGCGCAGGTCTTCGACCTCATGAACGGGGGGCCGCACCTGGGGTGAGCGCCGTGAACGATCGGTTCATTGACCACCCCCCACCATCATCTAGCAGCAGCGCATCACAGGACCGTCTGTTCGTGTCGGGTGTATCGTTTGTGTCTGTCGGATGTATTGTCTGTGCGTGCGGGATGTGTCGCCTGGATGTATCGTCTGCGTCGGATGTACGTATCAGATCGATGAAACGTATCTCTCGGATGTGTTGTCTGCACGTACCGGATGCATCGTCTGTAAAGTATGTATCATCTGCATTCTATCCACTGTATCGTCTGTATGCATCAACGGTAGCTCCCTGATTGTAACGTCTTGTTCCTATAACGCTGCAAAAAGACGGGGTACAGACAGAGAGCGCTGCGATTCCACGCGCGGTCCGGGGGAAGTAGAGGGTTGAGCCGCCCTGCCCCTGGCCCCGACTCGCAGCCTAAACTCTTCCTCCCTGGCCGGTCGGCCGCCCGCTCTGCGCTCTGCGCTTCAGGCTGCGTCTGTTCCACAAGTTCGACACCTTCCGGATCTTGGTATGCGGCGGCGACGGGAGCGTGGGCTGGGTGCTGTCCGACATCGATCAGCTGAGCTTGCACAAGCAGGTGAGCAACCATTCTCTCCCTCCCTCCCTCCCTCCCTCCCTCCCTCCCTCCCTCCCTCTCTCCCACCCCTCCCTTCCCTTCTTACCTCCCATCCCTCCCTCTCTCCCTACGAATAGCCATTCGCTCCGCCTCCTCTCCCCATAGCTCCACATCCCGGTGGCCACACGGCCTTCTGGGAGGGAGTTCTTTCAGCAGCGTTGGTTAAGCACAAGCAAACTCTGGCTCGGTTTCAGCATTCAGCATCTCATCAGCAGTCAGGCTTTGTTTAAACTAATGCCGGTGAACTGCCAGTTGAATGTCAGTTTTTTTTCTTTTAAACGTGCAGCGGGACGTAAAGCATTGTACCAAATCTTGCTTCACGTTTCAATTTTTTAGTTTTGCTGAAAAAATCAAACAATGAATCAACAGCACTTGCCCCAACAGTCCGTTAAAGGCGATACAGGGAATTTTTGTTTTGTCTTTGCAGTGTCAGATGGGGGTCCTGCCCCTGGGTACGGGCAATGACCTCGCGCGCGTCCTGGGTTGGGGCCACTCGTGCGACGATGACGCCACTCTGCCGCAGATCCTGGAGAAGCTCGAGCGTGCCGGCGTCAAGATGCTGGACAGGTGAGGCGGCTTCCCGCCGAGGTCAGAGGTCAGGGGTCAGAGGTCAGAGGTCGTCAGAGCGTTGAGCCGGGAACCTTCGTCCCGTCGGTGGAGAGAGCACGGTCGTTTAATGTCGACGGCTGTGCTCATGATGCGATCCGCTTCATTGTGAACTGGTGGTCTGAGCTGCCCTTGAATTCGATTGGTTGCCAGGTGTTCGTGGCTTCAGCCCAGTCACCAATAAATAAATGCTATGATAAAAAAAATATGCTTTACATTTTGGGCTTTTGCACTTAATTTGTCTCAATTACAGCTCTCAGAATTAAAACATCGGTTTGGTTGTCATGTAACGTGTCTGTGTGTCTTCCTGCATTTCCCTGTAACCAAAGTTTGTCCCATTATCTCTGTCTCCCTGAATCTGTGCATCTCTCCCTGCATCTCAATGTGTTAATTTGTCTCGCTTTGTCCACGCATCTCTCTGTGTCTCTGTGCCTCCCTGTATTTCTGTCTCCGTGCGTCTCCCTGTCTCCCCCCGCGTCTCCCCGCGTCTCCCGGGCGCGGTGCGTCCGCCCGCCAGGTGGGCGATCATGTCGTACGAGGTGAACGTGCCGACACGGCACTCGCAGCCCGTGCCGGGAGAGGAGAGGTCCTGTGACGGCGAGGCGGACGGGCGAGCGGGCGCGGCTGAGGAGGGCGGCAGAGAAGGCGGCGGGCAGGTGAGAGAGAGAGAGAGAGCGCCGGGCGCCCCGTGCCGATCCGGCACCCGTCGAGAGGCGCGACCAAACCCACCCCCGCCGCTCCCGCCAGCGTGGCGGAGTTCGCTCGCACGGCCCCCACGGGCCGCGGGGCAGCCCCCGTCCCGCGGTGGGGTTGACCGCGACGTCCGATCCGCCCCTCCGGGTTTTCTTGTTTCAACGCGAGGCGCTCGCTCGGCTGCGGACGGCGGGCGGTGAGTGGAAGTCTGGGGACGGGCTGTCCGCCCCCGCCCCCCTCCCCCCCACCACGTTGAGCCTCCCAGAATAAAACGCCGTTGCCGTTTGGCGTGCGGGGCGCGGGCAGGCGGAGATGGCGGCTTACGAGGGCTCCGTGGCGGCTCACCTCACGCGCATCCTCAACTCGGAGCAGCACTCGGTGGTGATCGCGTCCGCCCGCGTGCTCTGCGAGACGGTGAAGGGCTTCGTGGCGCGCGTCGGCAGCGCCTACGAGACGGCCGGGGAGAACCCCCGGGAGTCGGACGCCATGGCCCACAAGGTGAGGCCGCCCGCGAACGCCCCTCCCGCCGACGACACTCGTCGCGATTCGCGGTCGGCTCTTCGGGCCGGGCCAGCCGAAACGACGCGGCCGCGTTCGCGTCGCGAGGGGCCCCCCTCCGGACGTTGCCGAGCTGAAAATGCACGCCGCTGATTCCAGGGCGCCGTTTCGTTGCCGCCCGCAGTGCGCCGCGCTGAACGAGAAGCTCGACTCCCTCCTGACGGCGCTCAACGACGAAGCGCGGGCGGCGTCGGCGGCGGCGCAGGGCAGCACCGGCACCCCCCCCATCGCCGAGGAGGAGGAGACCGAACAGGAGGAGGAGGAGGAGGATGATGACGGCGACGGTGAAGAGGTGGAGGAGGAGGAGGAGCTGGAGAAGGGATCGCGGGAGGGAGCCAGGAGAGAGACGTGTGAGGGGAGGCACAGGAAGGCGCCGCTGAGGAGGAGACCGCGACCTCCTCCTCTTCCTGCGCTGGCAACGACGGCGGCGGCGGAGACGCAGCTGTTCCTGCCGCGCGAGCACCTCATGTCGCGCGCCAACAGCCTGAAGAAGGCCGTGCGGCAGATCATCGAGCAGGCCGAGAGAGGTAGGGCGATGGCTCGCCGCGGCGGCCGCTTCGACCGCACGGTTGGCCAGGTCACCCGGGGTGCGACCAGGCTCGTCACATCCCGGAAGCTAAGCGGGGTTGTACGCTAGTGCTGTGTGTACGTTGAACTTCTTTGGCGCCGTACGTAGCCAACCGTGTTAATCGGAGGTGCGGGGGAAGGACAACAAACTAAACACAAAAAGTAGTTCTAAAGAAATGAGTTTTCAATCTTGATGATTTAAAACTGCACATCTGCCAGTGGCTTCCTAATATTAGACGAAAGCACGTTCTAGATGGCCGCAGAAGCGCATCTGAATGCGTGCGATGTGAGCCAAAAGCTGCTGCTGCGAGGATGAGTGATTGATGGTTTATACTCCTTGACGAGATCAGCGACGTGTCGTGGTTCATTTGTGGCGAGCACGTTGTGTGTGTAATGAGTGCGACGTCATAACAACGGATTCGTTCGGCAAACGGACTCCAATGGAGCGATGGACAGACGTGGGTTGAGCCTGGATGGAGCTGGGACGGGCGACCGACGTGAACGGCTCGGAATGTCGAGGGGCCACTGTGGGGGCCACGTTGCGGGCAGCGGGAGGCAGTGCAGCCAAATCGTGAACACACGATGTTGCGATACTGTGTTGGCAGTGGTGAAAGATGCACAAATACAAAAAACATCGATAAATCTCAACACGTTCATTAACAGCATTGTGGCCTTAAATGCGCTTCCGCTCTCTCAGCCGTGGACGAACAGAACGCGCAGACGAGCACCTGCAGGAAGGAGCCGGAGGAGGTGCAGGAGGAAGTGGAGGAGGAGGTGGAGGAGGAGGAGGTGACGGGCCTAGCTGAGGCTCCGCGTGCCGGGGGCACGGAGCCCACCGGTGGCCACGCTCACAGCGGCGACGAAGACTCCTCCCCCCGATCCTCCCCCCGATCCTCCCCCCGATCCTCGTTCGGATCTCGTCTCAGCAACCGAGGTGAGGCTGAAGCGGGGGGCCTTTGAGGGCATGGTATATGGGTAGTGGACATGGCCTATGGTAATAGACCAGGCCTATGGGATGTGGACATGGCCTATGGGTAGTGGACATGGCCTATGGGTAGTGGACATGGCCTATGGTAATGGACCAGGTCTATGGGATTGTGGACCAGGTCTATGGTAATGGACCAGGTCTATGGGATGTGGACCAGGTCTATGGTAATGGACCAGGTCTATGGGATGTGGACCAGGTCTATGGGATGTGGACATGGCTTATGGGTAGCGGGCAGGGCCCTTGTGTGGCCAGGGCAAGTGGTCATCAGTGCAACACTCCGTGCCACTCTGCACGGAGTTTGTATAGTCTCTCCCCCCTGTTCTGCATGGGTCCTACTCCTGGTTTCTGCAGTTTCCTCCCATAGCTAGACACACACACAGTGCCAATGTTGCTGGCCAAACATCCCAACGTAGCAGCATCCTCCTAAGCAAGAGTATCTCCTGGATAAATGGGTACTTATTATTGTTGTTATATTTATACCCATGCAGTACATTTCTAGGGTTCCTAGATAAGGGGCAGTCGTGGGACCTCGGGGGGGGGGGGTAGTGGCAGCTATCCCTGTGTGGAACAAGGTTGATTGACCTGGGCGAGATGTTAACTACCTCGCCTGGTATACAGGAGGTGGTGGGTTCCATCCCAACCCTGACACCTGCTGTATATTTGGAGTTTGCGTGTCTCTCTCCCCGTGGTCGTGTGGCTTTTTCTCCTCTGTTTTTTTCCTGCACATGTACAATCAACATCACGTGTTTAGAGTATTTGGCTGCTATAAATGTCTACGGGATGATGAGCCACCTCGTCGAGCTCTCATTTGTGGTCGGCTGGTCGCTTCTGAAAAAGAGCTACACAGCTCGGTGCGGCCTTACACCTGGTAAAGTAAAAATAGTTTAAAGTTTAAAATTACGTTGGGGCTGACATGCAAACTAAATACAGCGGCTTGCAAGCCCACCACGTGTCCTAGTGGAGTCCACCACGTGTCCTGGTGGAGTCCACCACGTGTCCTGGTGGAGTCCACTACGTGTCCTTGTGGAGTCCACCACGTGTCCTGGTGGAGTCCACCACGTGTCCTGGTGGAGTCCACCACGTGTCCTGGTGGAGTCCACCACGTGTCCTGGTGGAGTCCACCACGTGTCCTGGTGGAGTCCACCACGTGTCCTGGTGGAGTCCACCACGTGTCCTGGTGGAGTCCACCACGTGTCCTGGTGGAGTCCACCACGTGTCCTGGTGGAGACCACCACGTGTCCTGGTGGAACCGCAGCTCAGCCGCCGTGCCGCCGTGCCGGGTGCAGGCGACGTTCCGGCGGCGCCGACGGAGCGGCGCATCAGCAAGACGAGCGCCTTCCTGGGGGGCTCGCTGCCCACCACGGCCGGGCCCGGCTCCGGCAAGGAGAACCTGCCCATGCTCAACATGCGCATCCTCTACCCCAGTACGTGCCGGCCGGGGGGGGGGGGCGGCGTGGACGCGCTCAAAGGGGGGGCGCCGGATAAGAGTCGGGGCGAGGAGGCAGCGAGGGTTGGGTGGATCGCCGGACGAATGACAAAAATGTAGAACTGTGCAGCGATGTACGTACGTTTAACTTCTTTCGCACCGTACGTAGCCAACCGTGCAAATCAGAGGTGTGGGGGAAGGACAACAAACTTCAGTTCTAAAGAAATTAGTTTTCAATCTAGATCTTTTAAAAGTGCATAGCTCCAATGGCTTCCTAATATAGGAAGGAAGAGCGTTCCAGACGGCCGCATTACAGAAATGTAGAACTGTACAGCGTTGTGTCGACTGATGTCGTCTGTCCCTTCTGGTACGGAATTGAGTGTTGCTCCCTCGCACGAGTCGGTTTTCTCCGAGTGCTTCGGTTTCCTCCCGCGTGTATAAACACTCACGAGTTGGCTGAAAACATTTTTATATATCGAGGACTGTAGAGCTAATGTTGGTGCCGGCTCACCGCTCGGAAACCTTCCACGCTAGTTCTTAGTGCCTCGGCAATTATTTGCATGAATGAGGGCTCGATAAAAATAATCATATTTTAAAAAAATGTACCTGGCGGCATAACGGGCCCAATATCGCCGCTTCTGTGACGGCGCCGGTTGGGACCCTTCTGACAAAGAGCCTTGAGAGGGCCCCGTGGCTCACGGAGGGCCCCGTGGCTCACGGAGGGCCCCGTGGCTCACGGAGGGCCCCGTGGCTCACGGAGGGCCCCGTGGCTCACGGAGGGCCCTGCCGTGGCGCTGCAGGTCTGCGAGCGGGCCTGGCCGCGTCGGTCGCCGGGAGCTGCATCATCAGCAAGATGCTGCTCACCAACGCGGACACCCTGGGGGCCTGCGCCACGCCTCTCATGGACCTCGACCCGGACTCACTGTGAGTGCCCCCCCCAGCCCACCACCCCCCCCCCCTCCTACTCACCTGCTCTCTCACTCACCCACTCTCCCGCTCACTCACCCGCTCACCCGCTCACCTGCTCTCTCACTCACTCACCCACTCTCCTGCTCACTCACCCGCTCTCTCACTCACTCACCCACTCACTCACCCGCTCGCCTGCTCACTCACCCGCTCTCCCGCTCACTCACCCACTCACTCACTCGCTCACCTGCTCACTCACCCGCTCACCCACTCACCTGCTCACCCACTCACCTGCTCGCCTGCTCACTCACCTGCTCACCCACTCACCCGCTCACTCACCCACCCTCCCGCTCGCCCGCTCACTCACTCACTCACTCACTCACCCACTCACTCACTCGCTCACCTGCTCACTCACCAGCTTGCCCGCTCACTCACCTACTTTCCTGCTCTCCCGTTTGCCCGCTCACTCACCTGTTCACCCGCTCACCCGTTGTTCCGCCCGCCCCCTCACTAATCCGTTCTTCTGCTCACCCGTTCACCCGCTTTCTTCCCCATTCATCTGCTGACCCGTTCACTCACCCACCGACCCACTCATTCACCCACTCACCGACCCACTCATTCACCCACTCGCTCACCCACTCGCTCACCCACTCACTCACCCACTCATTCACCCACTCGCTCACCCACTCGCCTCCAGCCATCCCACTCGCCCGAGACGTGACCTTTTCCTGGCCTGTGTGTTTCTTGGCAGCGAGGGCTTCATGGAGAAGTGCGTGATGAACAACTATTTCGGGATCGGCCTTGATGCCAAGATTTCCCTGGACTTCAACAACAAACGGGAGGAGCACCCAGAGAAATGCCGGCAAGGGCACGCACGCCCAGAGCCACAAAATAACACCGCAAACACAAAGATCCCCCGTGTAGCCTCCAACAGGCCTTAGGGGCAAGTACTGTTAGCGAGCAGCAGCACTACACACACGCACGCACGCACCATGTGTACAACTCGCATACAGTGTACGACACACGTACACTAATCAAGACAAAGGTCCCCCGTATTGCCCCTTAGAGACTGTTGGGGCAAGTGCTGTTAGCGAGCACCTATGAAGGCTGGCACGGCTCACGAGAGGATGGGTGGCCAACACGCCCGGCCACCTTTGTCTCCCTAGTGGCGATGTTTACACACCGCACCAGGTACTCATTTGAGACAAAGTCGACTTAAAGGAGGCCCAGGACCGGTTCAGATATTCGCCACTGTTTTTGGCCATGAGCGGGCATCGAACTCGGGTTGTCTGGTTTGAAGTGCAGTGTGCTAACCACGACACTACTCTACCACCAACACGTGGAGAAAACACATCTAGGGGACATTTTTGCCATTTACCAAAATGATGAAAAAATAACAATAGGCTTGATAATTTCTGGTAATAAAACAGGAAGTGTTCAGATGTTCAGACACCACATCGATACACTCGTTCAAGGCATTACGTCTGCATTAACCATGCACAGTACTTGTGGCAAAAACATGCACACAAGCACGTGGCTCTGATAATATATCCATTGTCTTTTAAACTGATTGGCCTACACCAGAGAGACATCCTTCTTTATGGCCGTGTCTCACCGCCGATGTTAGACCAGACAACAACAACAAAATGCGAACAGTGCAAAGGCAATGCAGGTCTCAAATTATTAATAGCTGGGGCCGAGATATTAATACTTTTCACACTCGCACTTGCCCAGTAGCCCGTTAAGATACTGTGCACGACGCCTGTACCATTTACAAGTGGGATGAACGTTCGCGGCTCGTGTTCGGCCGTTTGCGGTTCGAATCGCGCGGTGCGCCCTGGTTAATATCGCAACTGTGTTCAAAAGTTAAAACAATTACCGCGCGCCGTCCCCCGCTCAGCGGCCGTTGGAGATGTCCCGTGACATCATTCTAAAAGGGAGCTATCCCATCGAGTGCCGGCTTCACGGTCCACATTTGGCCAATTTAAACAATTCATCACGAATAATTGAATTGGGAGAAACAACCTCCATTCGTGTGTGAAACTGCATCCTCGCAGCAGCAGCAGCAGCAGCTTTTGGCTCGACCATCGAACAAAGGCGGCGGTCACTGCATCGTGCGGCGCTTTCAGATGCGCTTCTGTGGCCGTCCGGAACGCTCTTCCGATATTATGAAGCCACTGGGGGCTACCCACTTTAACATCATCATCTACATTGACAACCTCACTTCCTTAGAACTGCTTCTTGTGTTTAGTCTGTTGTGCTTGCCCCCCGCGCACCTCCAATTGTGAGTCTCCGCGTGACGTGTCCCGTACGTGTGCCGTGCCCCGCTCAGGAGTCGGCACCAAGAACATGATGTGGTACGGCGTGCTCGGAACCAAGGAGCTACTGCAGCAGTCCTTCAAGAACCTGGACCAGCGCGTGCTCCTGGAGGTGAGGGATGGACACCCCCTCACAACAAAGACAAAGATACCCCCCCCCCTCCCACCGTATAGCCTTAACAGACTGTTGGGGCAAGTGCTGTTAGCGAGTAGCACCTATGAAGGTTGGTACGGCGCACGAGGGGGTGGGTGGCCAGCACCACGCTCGGCCGCCTTTGTCTCCCCAGTGGCGATGTTTACGCATTGCACCAGGTACTCATTTGAGGCTGAGTCAACCTATGCGGTGCCTCGGTGGCTAGAAGATGTTAACTACCTCGCCTGGTATGCAGGAGGGCGTGGGTTTGATCCCGACCCTGACGCCTGCTGCTGTATATTTGGAGTTTGCATCTCACTCTGCGTGTCTCTCTCCCCGTGGTCGTGTGGATTCTTCTCCGGGTCCTCCGGTTTTTCCCTCCACATTTACAATCAACATCACCACGCGTTTAGAGTATTTGGCCATTATACATTTCCACGTGATGATGATAAGCCACTTCGTTGCGTTCGCCAGCTCGCTTATGAAAAAGAGCTCCGCAGCTCAGTGGGGGCCTTACACGTGATGAAATATAAATACAAATCCCAACTGAGTCATTTGCGGTGTCATTTTTTATTCCGGCAAAATGTGAACCCTTACGCCGGCACGCAACGGGCCACCTTTCGTGAACGACATCGGGGGATCTTTGACGTCCACTGTGAATCGGACGGCACGTAGTTGTAGCGTTGTGGTTGTTGCCGCGGTATTCATGAGGGCGGCGGCTGGATCCGAAACCGCGAACGAGCGGTGCCGCGCCCTGCTGCTGGACTCCAAAATCAAAGGCGTCGTCGTTGTCGATAACATATACGTGACAGAATAAGCAGGCCGCGAGCGATATTTGTCCCTCTACGTTCTTTTGCTTGTGCATGTATGTACGTCGAACTGCGATGGCGCGCCGCGGCGTTCCCTTCGACCGCACGGTTGGCCAGGTCACCCGGGGTGCGCCCAGGCTCGTCACATCCCGGAATCTAAGCGGGGTTGTACGCTCGTGCTGTGTGTACGTTGAACTTCTTCGGCGCCGTACGTAGCCAACCGTGCTACTCGGAGGTGCGGGGGAAGGACAACAAACTAAACACAAAAAGCAGTTCTACAGAAATGAGTTTTCAATCCGGATGATTTAGAAGTTGCGTGGCTCCCAGTGGCTTCCTAATATCGGAAGGGAGGGCGTTCCAGACGGCCGTATAATTGCATCTGAAAGCGCTCGATGCGGTGACCGTCTTTGTTCGATGGCCCAGCCATGCACGGCGCTCTGAGACGCATCGTTTAAGGGCGCCTGATGGACGTCATTTGCCGTTGTTGTGTTTGTCGCGCAGTGCGACGGGCAGTACATCCCGCTGCCGAGTCTGCAGGGCATCGCGGTGCTCAACATCCCGAGCTACGCGGGAGGAACCAACTTCTGGGGCGGAACCAAGGAGGACGAGGTTGGGAGACAGAGGCGCTCGCGGTGGTCGCGTCCGCGCCGGACTCAAACTGCTCACACATACAGCCCTGGGCGGTGTTGAGTGCTGGGTGTAAGTGTGTGTGTGTGTTAAGGGCTGGGTGTAAGTGTGCGTGTGTGTTGAGTGCTGGGTGTAAGTGTGTATTGAGTGCTGGGTGTAAGTGCGCGTGTGTGTTGAGTGCTGGGTGTAAGCGTGCACCCGTCCGTGCGTGTGTTTGTGCCCCCCCCCCTCCCCACTCTCCCAGACGTTCACGGCGCCGTCGTTTGACGACAAGATCCTGGAGGTGGTGGCCGTGTTCAGCAGCATGCAGATGGCCGTGTCGCGCGTGCTCAACCTGCAGCACCACCGCATCGCGCAGGTGAGGGCGTCGGGGGGTGGAGACGAAGGTGGGAAGCAGGAAGGGGGACGTCACTCCGTCACTCCGCACTTTCCGTGTCGACAATCGCAGGAAGCCGGCACGGCACGCGGCTCCTCCCTCGTGGCAACGACTCAACGTCACGGCACAGCAGCCCTGACGACAGTTTTTTTTTGCGTGACGACGGCCGCGATCACGTGTCTGTGTGATGACGCAAGCGATCACGTGTCTGTGTGATGACGCAAGCGATCACGTGTCTGTGTGATGACGCAAGCGATCACGTGTCTCTGTGATGACGCAAGCGATCACGTGTCTCTGTGACGACGCAAGCAATCACGTGTCTGTGTTATGACGCAAGCGATCACGTGTCTGTGTGATGACGCAAGCGATCACGTGTCTCTGTGATGACGCAAGCGATCACGTGTCTCTGTGACGACGCAAGCAATCACGTGTCTGTGTGATGACGCAAGCGATCACGTGTCTGTGTGATGACGCAAGCGATCACGTGTGTCTCCGTGTGCGACGGCCGCAGTGCCGCACGGTGAAGATCACGATCCTGGGGGAGGAGGGGATGCCCGTGCAGGTGGATGGAGAGGCCTGGATCCAGCCGCCGGGATACATCAAGATCACCCACAAGAACCGGGCGCAGATGCTGACGCGCGACCGGGTGAGGGGTGCCATTAAAACTTCGCCACTGATACCACCACCGCCACCACCGCCACAGCTGCGACGTCAATAGCCACCGACACTTACACGACCGCCACCATGACCGAGACTTCACCACCGCCGTCACCACCACCACGGTAGTCACGAGGAGACAAAGCCAGCCAGGCACGTTGCATGCAACACCAGCCCGCCACGTGTTGTGCCGGCCTTCATAGGTGCTCTCTAATGGCTCTTGTCCGAGCAGGCTATGAAGGCTTCCGCGGGGGGGGGGATCTTTGTTGTTGTACGGCGGTGATGGCAGGCCTTCGAGAGCACGCTCAAGTCGTGGGAGGACAAGCAGAAGTACGAGCTGCCTCGCCCGCACTCCCAGCATGCACTGCTGCAGGCCACGCCGCCGTCGGAGGTCATCATGGCGGAGGAGGCCAATCGGATCGAGGCGTTCGCCTGCGCCGCCGCCGCCCTCATTCACGCGTGAGGACCCCCTGGCGGCCCGGACGTCGAGAGAGCGCCAGCAATATGCCGCAGTTGCGAGATGTTGACTACCTCGCCTGGTATACAGGGGTCGTGGGTTCGATCCCAACCCCGATGCTTGTATATTTTGAGTCTGCGTATCTCTCCCCGTGGTCGCGTGCATTTTTCTCCAGGTCCTCCGGTTTTTCCCTCCACGTTTATAAACACGCGTTCAGAGTATTTGGCCGCTATACATTTCCACGTGATAAGCCACTTGATTTGCGATAGCCAGTTCGCTCTTGAAAAAGTGGGCCTTACCTGGTCAAATAATCCGACGCCCGCGGTGTCTCTGTCGCCGCCGCCCCCAGGATCAGGGAGGCGGCCGAGGGCCACAGCAGCGTGGAGCAGGAGCTGGCACACGCCGTCAACGCCAGCGCGCACGCGCTCGACGCCCTCTACGGCAAGCCCAAGCGATCCTCCGTGAGTAAAGAGCTTCCCGCGTCTCCCGGAGGCTCAGCCGGGAACTCGTGGGGGTGAGCGGGCCACCTCCGCCAGTACCCCCCTCCACCTGCTACTCAGCCCCGCCCACTGCTCAGGTAGCTCCGCCCACTGCTCAGGTAGCCCCGCCCACTACTCAGGTAGCTCCGCCGACTGCTCAGGTAGCTCCGCCCACTGCTCAGTTAGCCCCGCCCACTGCTCAGGTAGCCCCGCCCACTGCTCAGTTAGCCCTGCCCACTGCTCAGGTAGCCCCGCCCACTGCTCAGGTAGCTCCGCCCACTGCTCAGGTAGTCCCACCCATTGCGCCACGGTGGCTATGAGATGTTAACTACCTCACCTGGTATGCAGGAGGGTCGTGGTTTCGATCTCGACCCTCCTGCTCTCCCCGCGTGGATATTTCTCTGGGTCCTCTGTGCTACTGAAAAGTTCCCACACAATGAGTTGAGCTATCATTAGTGATAGTCAGATCGCTTGCGAAAGAAAGCTATAAACCTCAGTGGGCCTTTCCCGGTTAAATAAAAAATAGTGAACAAAAAAAAGTCTCTGAAGTTTTTGGGGTGCGTCTTGAACGGTAATTGACGCAATCATTGTTCCACCCCCAAGTTGACAAATGATGACCTCCTTAGAGTGACACAGACAGTTCGTGGACAAAGATGCGCATAACAACCGCCACTAAGTGGCGGTGACGTCACCTGGTAGAATGAAAATTGTTGTTGTTGTTAAACTGTGCTCGGGTTGCAAGGCGCACAGGCAGGCAGGAAGGCAGACAGAACTGGCACCAACATTTACCCAAACCCTGTGGTCCCGTTTTGATAATTGTTGACGACGACGACGATGATGACGATGATGGTGGTGATGGTGGTGATTCTCTCCCCTGTTCCTCACCCCACTTGCTCGCAGGGCTTGGCTCGGCACCTGGTGATGGACTCGGTAAACAACGTGAAGGCTCTGCACGGCGAGACGGAGCTGCTGCTCTCCGGCAAGCTCTCCCTCGTGAGTCCTTCGTGACGGGATCCTGTAGCGGGTTGGGACGGCCTCTGGACGAATGACAGAAATATTGAACTGTACAGCGATGTGTGTATTTACGTAGAACTTCTGTCGGGGGGCGTCCTTGCCTTTGTTCCTTTGCTCCCCACGAGCAGCAGCTGGAGCGCGAGCAGGAGGACTCGCTGCACGCGGCGCTGGCGGCCGTCGACCTGGAGCTGCGGCGCATCGCGGACATCCCCTGGCTGCGTCACATGGCCCAGCCCAGCGACGGGGAGGTGCGTCGAGCGTTACGCCCGCGTGGGTCAGAGGTCGTCTCGACCGCGTGGGTCAGAGATCATCTCAACCTCGTTGGTCAGAGATCATCTCAACCTCGTGGGTCATAGGTCATCTCAACCACAGGGGTCAGAGGTCATCCCAACCGTTACCGCTGAGATCTGGGTTCAGCGCGTCGAGTTGATGGTCTTAGCCCGGTCACCAATGACTCCCATAGACTCACATAGAGTCTCTTAGTTTCAAATACAGACCCATAGACTCACATAGATACCCGCAGCGCGGTTAAATTCGATAGATGGCTGGTAGGAGTTGGTGACTGATTCTGAGCGAACAGGAATGATGGCTGGTGGTGGAGACTAAGGATAGAGTGATAGCCGAAGGAGGGATCGCACTCGAGAGTGCATGCACCACGGAGGGTACCCAGCCAGCATGGAACCGTTCGGCCAACGTTGGGTCAACGTTAGGTCAACGTTGGCCCTGTGATTCCAACCACATGCCAACGTTGGGTCAACGTGGGCCTGTTTACTGGGTAGATGTAAAATCAGCTCACGTGGAGGAGTAAGATGGATTGTTTCATCGCAAGGCCCGTGAGAGGTGGCAATTTGTATTTATTTATTGAGTTTTCGGGCCAGCGAGCTAGAATTGGACGAGTTCACAGGCCATTCTTTGGCCAGGCAGCTGGAGCACTCCGACTTAGATATTTCTTAACTTAGCGCAGCATCACAAACTCATACATACATTTCAGAATGCACAACTCAAACAAATATATACAATTAAGACGAATAATTAAATGAACATGTTTTAAACATTACAATCGTATCAATCATTCTCATATTGTCTGAACCACCATTCAGCACCTAAAGGCCTTCATCTGTGCCACATTTGTCATCGAGAACAGATCGTACAACGTATAACGACGCAATGCCTGATCAACACAGCGACACACTGATCCCCTACTCTTGACACAGTTATCTGCTGGCTTGACCACCTGAATGTGACATTGTAGTTATCGCTGTGCATCTACATCAGCCATACGAAAGAAGAAGAAGATCTGTATGTTGAACTTTTTCTACATACCTATGTTGAACTTTTATGATGTACGTATGTTGAACTTCTTCTGTGTATGTATGTTGTATGTATGTGTGTTGACCTTCTTTTGCGCCGTACGTAGCCAACCGTGCTAATCGGAGGTGCGGGGGAAGGACAACAAACTAAACACAATAAGCAGCAATTTGTTTTCATCGAGCAGAGAACAGATCACGCCTAAGGATGGTGGCGATGATGACGACGACGTTGCGACTCTGACAGATCCACGCGATGGAGTACTCCAAGTGGACGGGGCGCAGCGCCAAGTTCCGCCTCGTGCCCAAGTTCAAGCGCGACAAGAACCTGCGGGCCCGGGACTCGCGCGCCGGCGTCGCCGTGCCCGGTACCGCCGCCGTCCCCACGCAGTGCCCCCCCCCCCCACCCGGTTTTTAAATGGGTATATGAACGGTAACCTCCTGGTAGCTGTTGAGTTGCAGGCAACCTCTTCAATCATGAAATATATAAAACTAAAATACTAATTTGCATTGAAATCGAAATTTTCAAAAGTTGCTGGCACAGTGCATTATGGGTATGTATCTTGAGCTTCTTGCATCGTACATAGCCAACCGTGCTAATCGGAGGTGCGGGGGAAGGACAACAGACTAAACAGAGAAAGCAGTTCTAAAGAAATGAGTTTTCAATCCAGATTTAAAAGTGACTGCTAATATTGTAAGGAAGAGCATTCAGACGTGTCGTAGCGAGTGTCTAGAAGCAATGTGTCGCCACCGTTTCAGCCCACGCACGTCGAGCCGATGTCGGATTGTAATTCCTGAATGGGTGAGGCCTGTTTGGTGTTCTCGAAATCCAGGGGGTACGATGCCACGGCGATATCCATTTTCTTAAAAGAAATAAAACCCCGTTATCTCCGCGAAGGCCACATTTATCCGAAAACCTCCCCACAGACCCCCCAAGATCCTCGACGGGAAATGTGCCTACGGAAGTGAATTCAGCGGCAGTTCTTTGACGTCGTCGCCCGCGGCCGTCCTCGCCACTGCAAGGTTACGAGCCGCTGTCATCACGCAAAGCGACAACGACACCGCTTCGCGTCAAACTTTATAACAACAACAACAACAACAAGAACTCCCGCACTGTCAACGGGCCTCGCGTTTTGCGACGGGAGCCGTGTGTACGGCGGGCGGAACGTGGGGGGCGGACGGCCACTGCCACTCAGGGGGACCGAACGTAGCGGTGGGCCAGGCCATTCCGCACGAAAGTACAAAGATCCCCCGTGTAGCCTTAACAGACTGTTGGGGCAAGTGCCGTTAGCGAGTAGCGCCTATGAAGGCCGGCACGGCACACGAGAGGGTGGGTGACCAGCGCCTTTGTCTCCTCAGTGGCAAAGTTTATTTTACGCATCGCACCAGGTACTCATTTGAGGCCGAGTTGACCTAGGGGAGGCCCAGGACCGGTTCAGACAAACGCCACTGGTGATGGACGTGAACGGGAATCAAACTCGGGTCGCTGGGTTCGTAGTGCAGCGGGCGAACCGCTACGCCACCGCTCCTCATCATACAACACGCAGTGTCACGCAACTTCACGTGGTTGCCATGGGCACGCACACACACGCACAAAGAAAGCAGTTCCAGCTATTTGGAGGACGTACCCCACTACCCTGTATACTCAACTATTTTATTGAGAACACATTTTTATTTTACCAGGTCAGGCCCACTGAGCTGTATAGCTCTGTTTCAGAAGCGGCCTGGCTATCACAATTGAAAGCTCAACCAAGTGGCTTATCACATGGAAATGTATAGCAGCCAAAATACTCGTAAACGCACGTTTCTAAATGTGGAGGGAAAATGCGGAGGACCCCGAGAAAAATCCACGCGACCACAGGGAGAGAGAGACACCGCAAACTCCAAATACACAGTAGCAGGTGTCAGGGTCAGGATCGAGCCCACGACCTCCTGCATACCAGGCGAGGGAGTTAACATCTCACTACCGTGGCCCCATGCTACACCACGGCCACAACTGCACAGCAAGGCACGTCCATTATTGTTCTTAAATTAAGAAACCCGTCATTTATTGTGCTATGTATATTCTCGGCAAGGATCCTAATGATTAATTTGAGTTTGTGTATTTTATTATTTTGCGTCGAACTGTGACCCCCATATCGTAAGGGGAGTAGGGAACCGGCAGTTCACCGGCTTTAATTCCAGCAGAGCTCACTCTGCTGATGGGACACTAGATGTCAAGACCAGCCTACGCCTCTAAGCATCGGGCAGTTCACCAGTCTGTTGCAAGCAGCCTCACGGGGCTGATGAGAGAAGACTAATGTTGAACCCCATCCAGAGCTTGCCCGTCCACAAACCCTTGCGACTGAAATGACAAACTCCCGGAAGGTCACCGCGCCCATGCACTCGCACTCGTGTGTGTTGCTGGCCGAGCGGCTGTCCATTCCACGTGGCCGTGAGCACAGAGGGCGCCCTGTGTTGCGGCTGGGCGGACGGACGCCGTCAAAGCCGCAAGGGACGATCAGGCGCCGTGCTGCTGGGTGGGGCTGTCTCGCTCGCGCCCAGCCAGCGTCACTTCGCCAGACGCCTGTGCCAACAAACCGCGTCAACAAACCCCAGCGCACCCCCGCATCCTCGCTCCGACGTGAAACAAAACAAACGTGTCCACCGACTTCCGTTGGGTCGCTCCGCAGACAAATTAAATCGTTTGGCGGCCGATTGGCCTCGGGGATGTGTAAAGGGTGGCCCAAAAGTGAGGACACATAGGGTTCCCATAGTTATTTTAACAAATCACAGGGGGTTACGTCACGTATTTTAACAATTTTAACAAATGTTCAAACTGACTTCCATTAACATTAATCAGTGCATGAATTCTCTTTTGAAATAAATGTCGGTCATTTATTCATTTGTAATGCGTGAAGAATCCTCAGTTGCTGCTGCGTTGGCAGTGGAGCACAAACAACAACATCATCATCAACAACAACAACCCTTCAAAGGATGAACATACCGTAGGCGACATTCGGGGCAGTGGCCTTCTTCACGCTTGGACGAGCAGCCTGCCACTCCATGAGAGGCAGGATCGACGAGCCCTGAGCCCGATTCTGACTTTGCTGAGACGTTAACTCCCTCGCCTGGTGTACAGGAGGTCGTGGGTTCGATCCCGACCCTGACGCCAGCCTGTTGAATATTTGGAGTTTGCGTGTCTCTCTCTCATCATCATGGTGGGTAGGAGATGTTAACTCCCTCGCCTGGTGTACAGGATGTCGGGTTGCTGGGTTCGTAGCGTGCAAACCGCTACACTACCACTCCCCACACACACACCTCACACACACACACCTCACACACACACACACGCCTCACACACACGCCTCACACAAACACCTCACACACCTCACACACACACCTCACACACACACACCTCACACGCCTCACACACACACCTCACACACACGCCTCACACACACACACACACCTCACACCCGCCTCACACACACACGCCTCACACACACGTGCGTGCGTGTGTCCGCAGTGCACTTGTGGTGCGCGGAGGAGGTGGGCGGCTGGCTGGAGAGGCTGGGTCTCGACGAGTATCGCGACGCCTTCGCCCGCAACGACATCCGCGGGCCCGAGCTGCTGCAGCTCGACCGCCGCGACCTCAAGGTTCGTCCGCGGCCGCCGGGGCCGAACACCGGGGCTGGGGTCTGGGTTCCAACCCCCCCCCCTCCCCCCCCCCCGATCTCCGAGGATCGGAACTCGCGCAGGGGGCGGCGTGGCCGAGCGGCAGCGTTCGCCGTAGGAGACGACGGCGGCCGCTACGAGCCGGGCGCTTCGCTCGGCATGGACGTTCAAGATCACGTGACGGCCATTGCGTGGGCGCCGCGGTGGCGAGGAGATGTTGACTACCTCGCCTGGTGTGCAGGAGGTCGTGGGTTCGATCCTGACCCTGACGCCCGCTGCTGCTGTATATTTGGTTTATTCCTCCAGGTTTAGAACCGAGCTGCGCTTTGGTGTTATTTGGCTGCTCTGAATGTCCAGGTGATCAGCCGCTTCGTCATGTGTGATGGTCAGGTCGCTTCTGGACAATAACTACGTCGCAGCTCGGTGGGGCCTTACCGGGTAAAATACAAAAAAATCGTCGTAATTGTCAATTTAACAAAATACTCAATTGAGATTACACGTAGCAGCAATCATCACCGCTGACTGAGAGAGCAATGCACGTGGTCACTCGTGCAAGACTATCCTCTCTAGCCCTCACCTGGTTCAACAAATTCACTTCGCCGAGCTGTTTAAATGCATCGAAGTCGCAATCAAAAATTGGCCGCATTTGAAAAATGACCTCGCCAGATGCCTCCATTGAGGAACCCGACAGTGAGCATCCACCCCCTGTCTGCGAAATCTGAGCAGGACCCTCCTGAAAACTGGTCTTGAGACTCACTGAGGCTTTCTTGGGCAAATGACAACAACATTAATCATAATCATGCAGAGCACCGTCCAGTGTGTTCAAAATAAAAAAAGCCCATTTGAAAGATTTTTTTACAGATATTGTAAAAAAATCTCTTCTATTCAGCCATTTTGCATATTAGGGGTCTCTTTTGTGAGTCGGTGCGTCTCTGTGTGAGTCTATGGGTGTCTGTGTGAATCTGGAGTCTGCACAAGTCTGTGTGTCTCTGTGCGAGTCTATGGGTGTCTGTGTGAATCTGGAGTCTCTGTGTGAGTCTGTGTGTCTCTGTGTGAGTCTATGGGTGTCTGTGTCAATCTGGTGTCTCTGTATGAGTCTATGGGTATTTTGTGTGAGTATTTGAGTCTCTTTGTCTGGACAGCACCACACCTGGCCACACCAGGTACTCATTAGAGGCCGAGTCAACCTTGGGGAGGCCCAGAACTGGTTCTCAGATAATCGTCAATGGCGTTGGCCGTGAGCAGGAATCGAACTCTGGCCGCCTGGTTCGTCACGCAACGTTCTCACCGTTACCCTACCGCTCCCCAATATACAACACACGGTGTCACCCAACAGACAGAGATCCCGCGTGCAGCCTTAACAGACTGTTGGGGCAAGTGCCGTTAGCGAGCACCTCTGAAGGCCGTCACAGCGCACACACACACAGGTACACACACACACACAGGCACACACACACACAGGTACACACACACACAGGTACACACACACAGGTACACACACACACACAGGCACACACACACACAGCGCACACACACACAGGTACACACACACACACACAGGTACACACACACAGGTACACACACACAGGTACACACACACACAGGTACACACACACACAGGTACACACACACACAGGTACACACACACACAGGTACACACGCACACACACACAGGCACACACACACACAGGCACACACACACACAGGCACACTCACGCACACACAGGTACACACACACACACAGGTACACACACACACAGGCACGCACACACACGCAAGCACACACACACACACACAGGCACACACACACACACAGGTACACACACACAGGTACACACACACACACAGGCACACACACAGGCACACACACACACACAGGTACACACACACACACAGGCACACACACACACAGGCACACACACACACAGGTACACACACACACACAGGTACACACACACACACAGGTACACACACACACACAGGTACACACACACACACACAGGCACACACACACACAGGTACACACACACACAGGTACACACACACACAGGTACACACACAGGCACACACACACACAGGCACACACACACACAGGCACACTCACGCACACGTTCGTGTTTCCCGACGCAGGACCTGGGAGTTGCGAAGATTGGACACATCAAGAGGATACTGCACGGCATCAAGGAGCTGAGCAAGCACGCGCAGGTCAGCGAAGTGTGAGAGCCGCGCGGCACGGCTGCCTGAAGGGAACCACCAAGGAGCGCGCACGACTGCCGACGGACGCACGGACGGCGTGCGTCTACGAGGAAGGAACGGGCGACGCATCTCATTGGGATTCCTCCAGGGAGCAGCTGCACTTGCCTCCGTGAAGTTTATTATTCTTATTTTAATTTTATCTTTTACACGATACGTCAGCTCCGTTGATAACGGTCCTGCGGGCCGATGGTCAACGTTGCAGAACAAGGTCCGTCCGGACGTCGCGATTTGCGTTTTTTTTATTTTCCGTCCGTGACTTTACACGAAAGGGATGTGACGCGGCGCGCGCACGGTAAAAGATCGGCGAGCCGTGACGTCGCGTCGCCAAACGCAGGGTTGTGTCGTCGGTCGTCAGCGGAGGCACAAAAAAGCACCAGCCGAACTGCTGTTGCGACGAAGATGGGATGGTCTGTCGTAGCACCGTCGCGTTCACTAACGCGCGCGGGATTTTTATTGAAAACACTGAAGCGTGTATCGTGTACGTACGTGCGTACGTACGCATTTTTAAACCGCCGCAGGGCACTGCTTTTGTCAAACGCCGTCCTGACAATCACGTGAAAGAAACCAAATCGTCCTGTAGGAATCCATCGGAGTTCAACGACAGCGATTCCCTGCCCAGGCAAGCACGGGGGCAGCGGCGCTCATCTCCTGCTCGCAGGCCCCGAGCCGGCGGTGTCAATTCCACGTTGCCGTGACGGGCACGGCTCTGACCGCTGGGCACTTGTCTCGCACGGTGCTACCCAAAGGGTACGGTCAGGCCCGGTCTCGACGTGTCAGGGAGCCTTGGGCAAGAAAAGAACGCGGCTCCCGGTGGAAGTGATCCAAAGGATAGAGCGCCAGGTTGATAAAACGCAGCAAATTGACACAGTAGGGGGCACAGGTGATTAATTGACCGGTCATCTCGGTCAGCCAACCCATGGCACCTGGGTCTGTCCCGTGACCTGTCAGCAGTGAGCTCTTCCACTCGTCACGTGGCCTCAAAGTGCACCTGGCCTGGCACAAGTGAATGGCGGCTGCAGTTGTTAGCGCGCCAAAGGCAATTGAAAGTCCCATTCGGCCGTAGGGAAGGAAAGACGTTGCCCACCCCGGGACTATTCACAAACAATGCTCCGTCGGTGGCCTGGGTGGCCGCTCCTGGAAGCTCACCCCGAAGGCCGGGGCCTGTGTGCGATTAGCTGCGCGTGAATGCTCTGGAGAAGGATTGTGTGGTAGGGTTAGATTTGGTGGAGTATTCGTTTTGCTTTTTTTTTTACACCTTGCAGGTGCAATCACGGGGCGCGGTGGCAACAGGGTGGCGTTTGTTTACTCTTCGTAACAAAGGCCCCTAGTGCGACATTACCGTATGCTCAGGGTTATAAGACGCACGCGGGAAAGTGAGACTCGCCCCAAACGTTTACACCTGCAGTCAATCAAGTTATTATAAATATGGTCACAGGGCAAGTGCTGGCAGCGAGCGAGCACCTGTGAAGGCCGGCACGGCGCACGAGTCTGTGGGTGGCAAACACGAAGCCCGTGCCGCCTTTGTCTCTCCACACCACACTGGATACTCAATTAAGGCTGAGTCAACCTAGGGGCGGACCAGAACTGGTTCAAATTCACTCTGACACACACCTACCGCGTGATAACACGTAACCCCCAACATTTTGTTTAACATACAGAGGCGGAGAAACGGCGCTTTTCTCCCGTTTACAGCCCTGCACAGCCAGTGGTGGAAATTCCACAGTCGTATGGTGGGTCAGAGTCTATCCATAGGACGACCGCTGTTGACTTCCCCCACAGAGCGGTACTCGTTTTTATCGACCCCGGAGAGCTGATGGGCTGAGTCAACGTCCCCCCCCCCCTCCTCCTTCCCCACCGAAGCAGGATTTGAACTCACGACCTTCCGACCGCGAGCCGCCTGATTGGTCAGCGCGTCTTGTAACGCGGAGAAGTCCGGCGGTGGGAATTGATTCGCGATTGTGCGGCCACTGGGTGGGGAGGGCGCCACCCTCGCTCGCTCGCCGCCGCCGCCGCGTGTTTTGTCGGCCAGAAGAGGAAACAACGAATGTGTACCCTCGCCTGGAGCGCTTCCGTAAACTGGAAACATTTTTGGACGGGTCGACGCATTTAGCTCCCGTCGCTTGACCCAATTTGGCGCCGACGTTCTTGTCACCGGTATTTTAGTCGTTGCGATCTGGTCTCGCCTGGGAGCCTCAAAATAGCCGCGATCGCGGTTGGCGATTTTTAAGATGCTTGCACGCAAGCCGCCGGCTAACTTATCGTTGTTCTCTTTGTTTGATGGTTTTCCTCCCCTTGGGAGATGTGTACGCTATAATGCCACGGCCGCATTTGTCCGTGACGCTTGTTCGCGCACGCTCCGTCACCGGGTCTCAGGGCGAGTTGGGTGCGAGGAATTGAGAGTTTTATTGGCGATCCCTTAGCCGCAGTCAAGTCAAAGCCACTACCTGCTCGAACGAGCATTGGTGCTTGTGCCCTGTTTACAGTCCTGCAGAGCAAGTGGTGGAAATTCCACATTCCTGTCGCGAGGGCGAGGAGTCCGTCCCATCAGACGACCACCGTTGACTTCCCCCGCAAAGTGGTACTTGTTTTATCGTCCCCCCCCCCCCCCCCCGGAGGAGTGATGATGGCGATTGAAATGTGGGTGAGGCGGACAGAGGGAACGGGGCTGTGTTACAGCCTACCATAAAACATTTGTTAGCTTCAGCGTAAAGGTCAACTCAACATTTGAGTCCATCTATTGGCTTTCCGTTCGCATTTTTTCACCATCATCGTTTGAGAAGACGAAACACTGGACCAGTTTGAACTTTCTGGGTCTCATCTGCAGGGTGTAGCCTGTTAAAGAAATAGCTGCCGGGCTGCCTGATATTACGGGTTCTCTATTTATTACAATTATTATTTAACCATAAAATACACCACACGGACGCGTAATACATATTGTACATACAAGTGACGTTACTGTTATTATTATTAAAGTATTATTTTGTGTGATGGTAATTTGATTTGCCCAAACACATACTGTACATATATATTTTATTTGTTAAGACAAAACCCATTCCCGTCTTTGCGCGTTCGAGAACGATTCAATCCCACTGGGGTCTTCGCTCTGCACGGCGATGCTCTAGGCTCCTTCGGGAAGAGCGGTGCGGGTCTTTGTGCCGGGCCGAGCCTGGTATCTGTGCCGCCGATATGCGAATCTGCGGGGAACGCGTGGTCCGTCACATCCGCACGACTGACAGATCGAGGTGGGTTAAGGAATGAACACCACGGGACGTAGATTAACCGCTTCTATTGTCTCTCAAACCTCTTCGTACTTTTGTTTCCCTCTTCCCGTGCCTGGACCAAGGTGCCAGGTGAACTTGACACTCGTTGAATTTGCACAACATCAGCAGAGCTGTGAGTGGTCTTCTCGCACAGGTGACAGAGAATTATATTGTTTTATTTGTATTATTTTATTATTTCCCTTCTACATGACTTTACCGAAAGAACCACGAATATGAATAGGTGATATATGGTTAACTTAACAAGTGGGTTTTCACGGCCAATATCACGGATGCGTGTCATCGATCTTTGGGTGATGCCTCGTAATGAGCTGACATATCCCGTGTTGTCAACACCCGTTGCCACCCGACACAGTTCAACAAATGTAATTGTCGCGTGCACAAACGTTTCACGACAATTATAATCGTATCAGCTCACTCAATAATTATCGTTTCAGCTCACTCACCGGCTAAGTTGACGAATAATTGATAATATGTTCTTGACAATTGCCCTTCAGCCTTCAACGTTTAATTTGTTCGGCTGTGTCGGGTGGTGGAGGGTTCCTAACGTACACAAACTTGGTTGGATCGTCACGCGGCCTCACACAACAAAAACTCAATTGTGAATCTTGCACGCGTTATGTTCATCGACATCATAAATAGCCGGTTGCCATCATCACAAGGGCTGTGTGCAGGAATGTGCACGCAGATTTGCGATGTCATCTTGACATGCACAGCATCCCTGTCGTATGTCACCGTGAATGACACCTTGTGATGTATTTCTCCCCTGGATGTTAAATCTTCCCTCTTGAGCGAGACAACGCGCACGCCTGAGCTCGCGTTATGGTAATTCCTCGCTTAACGAGGTACTCTTTAGGACGGCATCGCGACCGCGTTAAACTCGGGGGCCACTGTGATTTTGTGAGATTGTATACAAAGCGCATTAGGACAGTGACGACGACGACGATGATGCGGTGGTGGTGTTAGAGTCTAATAAAACAAAAAAATCCATCGGGCATGGCCATGTCATAAAAAAATATATCGCGGAAAACAATGGCATTTTTACGTGGAACACCGATATGCGTGAGGATTGTACCAGTCACGAGACATCGTTTGTCCCTACTTGAAAGTGAGCAATGTCAGTCTGAAGCCCTCCTCCGTACGGGACGAGGGCACCTACTGGCCTCCGTTGTTGGTGTTGCGTGTTTCGGTGTTGTTGAGTTCGATGTCCTTGCCGCGCACCTCCGATGAGCACGGTTGGTTACGCACGGTGGTGCGAGAGAAGTTCACCGTACGCACGAAAGTGAAAAGGCCACGCTCGGGCGTTTCTAAGTACGTATTCGAAGTACAAAGAGCAGTGCCCCGAGAACCCACCGTGAACTGAGAGGCTCCGTGCATCTTGGCAGTTCACCAGGCTTTGGTTCAAGCGAGCCCAACTCTTGCTGACGAGACACTCACAGCGTCAAAACCGGTCCGGAGGTTTGCTCTCGTTGAACCAATGCTTGCTGAAGTCATTCTCTCCCAGAAGGCCGTGTGGTCGATGAAAAGTGTGTTACCCAAACATATATATATATATATTTAAACTTGTGTTATTCTACGCGGAGGGACAGATATGGGAAGGAGGCGTAATCATTCTCTGCATATTTATTCCACGACTCGTAATCTCCAGAACGACGCTGATGATTATTTTGTGCCATGCCCGAATTCACGTTTTATAAGGCTCCGGGCAACGACAGTGGTAGGTTCTGGTCATGCTTGTGATGGCTGTGTGTAGTGTTTGAATGTTAAAGATTAACGAGAGCCATTCCCGTTATCAGTAGCGTAGGAATGTTGCTGATTCTACGCAACAACAAACAAAAACTCAGTGGGGAGGAATGTTTGTGTGTGGAGGGTCCCGCATGCCGTTATGAAACGTAACCAAATTTGTGTGTCTTTGTGTCTTTGTGTGTAAAGCGATGCACAATGTTACGTTGTGTTGTTTACATATACTCCATCACATAAAACATGGTAAATATCGTGACGTATTGTTTACAGTATTGTGCCGGTGGGGGAGGGAGGGGAATAAGCTCAATTTTGTTTGCGTAAAGGTATTTTTACACTGATACGTGCATTGCTACGACAAGTCGTTCGAGGCTAATCTGCAATTTAATATATATCTTTGTATAATATCGCTAAAATAATGTAAGATCGTCGCCAATTGTCTGTGGAGTGGTCGGGGCAATCTATGGCAACTCCTGCGTGTGAAGTGACATCACAGCTGTGCAAGGCAGTGTGGGTATTTTACAAAATGGCTGCAGGCCGCGTGCTGCGGTGCAGTGAAGTCTCTGAACACGTGGCGCTTTCTGAACTACTGCAATGACCCGTGTTTCTTTTTTGGGCAGGCCACGTAGGTCGTCTTAGCCAACATTCTCATCAGTTACCCTCCACCACCCGACAAGATGTTTACGGGAATATTATTTATACGTGCCAAGGTAATGGTAATGTTATGACCGATAAAACGAGTGTTATTGAAGTCAGTCTTCAAAGACTGAAGCCACCACTGAGGAATTGTTATTGGTCAGAATATGATCAATATTTTAGCACTCACAAATACGGCACAGTAATATCGTTGTAAGCGTAACAATCCTGTTCGGTGGTAGAGAGTTCATGTCAAGGGATGTTGGCATAAAGCCACCACGTGACCAAACCCAAAGACAAAACATGGATCACGATGGAAGTGTCTGTTGATGGAAAATGTCAAAAAGCAGTTGAAGTTTAAGTTGAGTTTGGCTCTGCAGGTTGGTGATTCATGTCGCTTCACGCAGAAGTGAGTTTTTTACGTCTGTGGAATTATTACATGTGAGAAAAGTTGGTCACAAGTGAGGAGGATGTGCATGCGCGTGTCCTGAACTGTCAGTATAGTGATCCAGGTCACTCTACCCAATGAGACTCTGTTCTGGTCTCTTGAGTTCTCACTCTGGTCAAAGAAAACAAAGTGCGACTTGGGCGGTGTTCCCGTGCTAGAGAAGTTTTTTGCTGCCAGTGTATTTTGTTTAGCCAGATGAGAACACTTGAGACCAGGAGTCTCATTTGCAAGGGTAACCTGGGTCACCAACACGACAAGAGGACAACTAAAATGTAAGTACGGCATTGCAGTGAATGAGATATCAGAGCATAAGCAAATATAAATCAAAGAGAAAACAAACAACCAAATAAAAATCGGCGCAAAGACGACCGCATTATGGGGTGAATAGAAAATAGTGCAATATCACGAATCAATATCAAACAAATACATTTCCTGCGACAAATGTTGGCTCGGGACAAGTCAAGGCGTCACGACGCGTGGCAGGGGAACACAAAAGACGTGAATCTTCCACGCGTCACGTGCATTTTCTGTTCTCTACACTTGAAGGTCCAGCTCAGTGGTTGTCGCGATGCAACATCCGTATGTTGAGCCATACCAGGTGATGAAGCTCGCGACACTCGCATTGAATTGCCTTTGTCAAGGTGCAACGATCTTTGCTCCGGTTCGATAGTGCAGCGCTGCATTGCGTAGCTGATTGGGTTTTACGTGGACCCCAGCAGCCACTCGAGGCCGCTTTACTGAACCACGATGTACATCGATTATTACACTTGATCGAATCGTTGGTCGGAGAAGAGCGTCGCGGGAGAATCGTCACACCCGCGGTTTTCATTTCCCGTGCAATATTTTCCCAGGAGCCCAGTCTCCCCGCACGGCTCTCTGGCTGAAATGTAATTCACGATTTGGTCACGCTGCTTCATGGGCAGTCATGCACAAGCACAATTCACAAACAACAACAACTCAACACAAGTCGTCAACAACACTGTGGCATTACAAGTACACACACATGATAGGCGACGTTTCGGGCAATGGCCCTGCTTGTGCTATGAAGAAGGACCATAACCTGAAGTATTATCTGTTTATATATTTTACCATTTAAGGCCACATAGTTATGAAGGAATGTGTCGAGTTTTTTTTTACTTTGGCTGACATTCTGCTCTGATTATACCTCAAATAGCTATTAGTGTCGACCGTATTTGTAGATGTACACAGTTGACCCCACTACCGTTGATGTGACAAAGATGATTAACTTATGAAAGAAATAAAAAAATATAGCAAACTGAAATTTACACCAGAAACTGCATGCGATTGTGTCGAGTTGTTCACAGCTGCTGCTGCTCGCTTGGCAGCGGCGCACACACGCACGGTTCACTACAAGGTCAAGGCATTCGTCAATAACACTGCGGCCTTAAAATAAAAAAAATAGATAAATGACACGAAATGATGCGCAACTTGTTGGGAAACGCTCTTCTTCTTGTTTTGGTTGCCGACTCCTGACCACGGGAGTCCAGTTCACCATGGGAGTCCAGTTCACCATGGGAGTCCAGTTCACCATGGGAGTCCAGTTCACCACGGGAGTCCAGTTCACCACGGGAGTCCAGTTCACCACGGGAGTCCAGTTCACCACGGGAGTCCAGTTCACCACGGGAGTCCAGTTCACCATGGGAGTCCAGTTCACCATGGGAGTCCAGTTCACCATGGGAGTCCAGTTCACCATGGGAGTCCAGTTCATCATGGGAGTCCAGTTCACCATGGGAGTCCAGTTCACCATGGGAGTCCAGTTCATCATGGGAGTCCAGTTCATCATGGGAGTCCAGTTCATCATGGGAGTCCAGTTTACCATGGGAGTCCAGTTCACCATGGGAGTCCAGTTCACCATGGGCAGGATCGGCAACTGGCGGCTCTTTAAGGACTGCCGCTTTGCGACGTTGTTTATCCAGGACCAGCGCCTCGTGTTCACCACACAGTGGCATTGCGCCCCTTGAGATATTGAGATGATTTTTAGTGGCCCGAAACGTCACGTATATTTTACGTGCAGCAGTGAAATGCAGCGGTAACACTCGCGTCTCAGCAATAATCATCGGTTCGACTCCCATCTCGGGCACCTTTGTACGTTGAACTTCTTTCGCGCCGTACGTAGCCAACCGTGCTAATCGGAGTTTCGGGATAAGGACAAGAGATTAAACACAACACGCAGTTTTAAAGAAGTGAGTTTTAAATCTGGATTATTTTAAAGTGTTTAGCTCCGGTGACTTCCTAATTTACATCGGAAGGAAGAGCGTTCCAGACGGCCACAGAAGCGCATCTTGCCCGTGTTGAGTTCGTATGTCCTCTCTCTCCCTGTTCTGCATTGGATTCATTTGGGTTCTCCGGCTCCCATCCATAGCTAAGTAAATAACAACAACAACAACAACAACCCCCATGCAGTATTACAGGTATTGGCCAAACATCCAAAAGCGAAAAGAAGTTACTGCAAATGACCCAACTGGTATGACACATCATAGCAACTTGGGACTTTGCTGCGAAACTTCGGCAGGTTCCTCCTGGATAGAGTCTTGAGACTCGGCGAGGCCTCCCGGGTAAATAAGCGTAAATAATAACAAGAATACACGTTCTTGACTTAAAGCTTTCGTGACTGCAGGAATTCGTATTCTTGGGTCCTTCGGTAAAGTCACTTAGATAGGTTCAAGTAAAATAACAAAACTTTTTTTTTGTAGATAGGTTCAAATAAAATAACAAAACTTTTTTTGTAGATAGGTTCAATTAAAATAACAAAAAAATTACTATATTTTTTTGTTACGTAGCTTTTTTTATTCTATAAAAAATATTTTTTTTTATGGGTGACCTTTTACATTCCAGCTTAAAATAAAAAAAATAACTTCAGTACGAAAACCGCGTAACGTGGCCTCACTACAATCTGAATGAGATCTTTCCGTGATATGCCAAAAGCATTGCCAATCTTCCTTCATTAAAACATTCCATTTCGTGACACTAACCACACGCGTGCGTGCGCGTGTGTGCATGCGCGCGCGTGCGTGCGTGTATCGTTGGGGAGCGGCAGTGTAGCGGTTAGCGCGCTGCGCGACGAACCTGGCGACCCGAGTTCGATTCCCGCTCACGACTAGCAGTGACCATTATCTGAACCAGGTACTCCACCTGGTGCGGTGCATAAAGCATCGCCCCTCGGGAGGCAAAGGCGGCCGGGCGTGGTGCTGGCCACCCAGCCCCTCGTGTGCCGTTGCGGCCTTCATAGGTGACAGCCAACAGCACTTGCCCCAACGGTCTGTTAAGGCTATACAGGGGAGCTTTGTCTTTGTTGCGTATCGTTGACACAGTGAGGGAGGCACAGGTGGTGCATCTGTCAGTGATCTCAGGGAGTTAACCCAACACCACCTGGGTCTGCCTCGTGGCCTGCAGCAACGAGCCTTCAGCACTTCACTTGACGGCCACACAGTGGTGGTGGTGCCGGTGGTGGCGGTGGTGGTGCCGGTGGTGGTGGTGCCGGTGGTGGTGGTGCCGGTGGTGCCGGTGGTGGTGGTGCCGGTGGCGGTGGTGGTGCCGGTGGTGGTGGTGCCGGTGGTGGTGGTGCCGGTGGTGGTGGTGCCGGTGGTGGTGGTGCCGGTGGTGGCCACGCACGTGGCTGCCTGTCACCCGGCACTGTCGAGGCAGCGAGGGGTTGGTGGGTCACACACAGATGGTGTCGAGGAGGAGCCGTGTACCCTGGCTCGCCAGAAGGCACGACGGCAACGATGTGAACTCAACCTGTGTCGTCTGTGTGGGATCGAGCGTTTCCCCCTCGCACGCGCGGGGTTTCTCCGGTTACTCCGGTTTCCTCCCACGTGTAAACACTCATCGATTGGCTGCGATAACGCCTTGATATGTAGAGGAGCGCAGAGATTGGGCACCAGTTGGCAGTGGCGGCTTGTCTGTGGTGCCTCGCGTCTCCGAGTCGTCCTCTCTCTTCGGGCGTTACAAGTTGCACCTCTTATTATTAAGTGCACCTAGCCTGGCACAAGCGCTGCGGTGACGTCACCTGCAGTTAGCGGCGGCTGGTCGTGTGTGTCTTGTTTATGATGTCTCAGTGTCACTCGAACGAGGTCATTGTTTTTAAACTTGGGTGTGGAAGGGTGATTGCGTCAATTAACGAATTTTCCAAATTATAAGACGCACGTAAAAAGTTAAAGAACCAACCCCAAAAACTTGAGATTTTTTAATTACTTTTACTTTACAAAGTAAGGCCCACTGAGCACGTAGCTTTTTTTCAGAAGCGAACTGGCTATCACAAATGAAATGTATAGCAGCCCAAACACTCTAAACGTGGTGATTCTAAATGTGCAGGGAAAAACTAAGGAGCCGGAGAAAAATCCACGCGACCACGGGGAGAGAGAGACACGCAGACTCCAAATATACAGCAGCAGACGTCAGGGTTGAACCCACGACCTCCTGTAGACCAGGCGAGGTAGTTAACATCTCCTAGCCACCGTGATGATGATGAGACACGCAGACTCCAAATATACAGCAGCAGGCGTCAGGGTCAGGGTTGAACCCACGACCTCCTGTAGACCAGGCGAGGTAGTTAACATCTCCTAGCCACCGTGATGATGATGAGACACGCAAACTCCAAATATACAGCAGCAGGCGTCAGGGTCTGGATCGAACCCACGACCTCCTGTAGACCAGGCGAGGTAGTTAACATCTCCTGGCCACCGCGACGCCAGATGGAACACGATCTCCGTGATTCCGAGCCGAGTTCTTTCCAACCGTCGGACGTCTTCCCGTTCTCTTCCATTTGGTGAGCAAACTCTAAGATGGAATTGTAAATGTGAATCTTCCACTATCACAATAAACGCGTGCACTCACACTCAGGGCTGTTGTGTTTGTTTGAGGCCGTGTCACCCCTACCCGGTGTTGAACTTGTGTGAGCCTGGTCGTGTGTGCGCGTGTGCTTGCAGGCGCTGCGCGCTCACAGCACTTGCCCAACAGTCTGTTAAAGGCCGCACGGGGCGCCTTTGTCTCTTGTGTGCGTGTAGGGCGCTTTGAGAATTGGATCTTTGGGATGCCAGCGACAGTGATGATGATGGTGGTGGTGGTTGTGCATTTAGTTTCGACATTTTGGGCCTCATCAGCAGAGTCTAAACGTAACAATTTCCACGTTACCAGGTAAGGCCCATTGGCAGGCAGGGCGTTCCAGACGGCCGCAGAAGCGCATCTGAAAGCGCGCGATGCAGTGACCGTCTTTGTTCGATGCTGGACCCAAATGATGATCACGAGGGGGGTTGGAGATGGTGGGAAGGAGAAGGATTGGGAGGAGGTTCAGAAGAAGGTGGAGGAACCTATATTAAGGTTGTTTTGTGTTAGATCGCGTAAATATCTAAATGTGTCGTTAAACCCCCCACCACTCGACACAGCCAACTAGTAAGGGTTGTCACATAAACAGAACGTGGCCAATTCGTCACCAATACAGCACACCGGTTGTGTGTTGGAGAGCCAAGCCACAACATTTACAATCGGAGTACGACGTTTCGCCAGTAATTACAACTAGCTTCATCAGGCGACAGACAGATTTGTGGAGAAGTGCCACCTGTCTAGTTCTTTAAATGGAGGCGTAGATGTGGTGACCACACTTCTGCGTTCTTGCGCCAAGTAGGGGGAGGGGGGTTAATGAGTCAACGCGCATTATGTGAGCCCCTTGATCTTGTGCGTCCTGCCCATTGTGTGCCGGGTGGTGACGGCTCTAACGACACACATGGATATATGTACGCGCTCTTACCCAAAAAGAACCCGTATTGTGGATGATATTGGTCGCGCAAGCCTCCTGGCTGCTGCGCGTTCCACTGATGGTCACAGCAGCCTGGCAAGAGGCGGGGGAGGAGGAGGAGGATCGTGAGTCGGAGAGGATGAGAGGGGGAAGGGGGGGGCTCTGACCGGGATGGTCGCGGCGAGCAGCGCGCTGTGGGCAGCAGGCGAGCAGGGTGCTGTGGGCAGCAGGACGCTGTGTGAGCAGCAGAGTCCACACTCCAGACTTTCGTCCCAGACGGAGTGGCAGCTCGGAGCGCGCGCGTCGAAGGAGGAGGAGGGCGGTGGGGGTGACACACACACACAGGGGGAGAGGGGGGCAGGGAGAGGAGTCGCGGTCACCCCGCGGTGTCTCCTCGCCTCGGGGGAGAGGGGAGGGAGGAGAGATCGAGCTGCGGAGAGACGAGGAGGAGGAGGCGGCACGAGGAAGAGGAGGAGAGCCCCCAGGAGGCACGCACAGCGCCTGCCATGGCTGCTGCTCCCATGGCTGTTGCGCTGCAGCTGCTGCTGGTGACTCTGTCGCTGCTGCTGCTGCTGGCGGCTGTGGAGACTCAGCCCGACTCAGGTGCGTGGCGACGGCGTGGGGCGGAACGGCCTGGGTGGGTGGGCACGGTGTGCGAGTGGTGGTGATGGTAATTATGGTGATGATGGTGATGGTAATGATGATGGTGGTGGTAATGATGATGGTGGTAGTGGTGATGATGATGGTGGTGGTGGTGGTGGTGGTAATGATGATGGTGGTGGTGGTGATGGTGGTGGTAATGATGATGGTGGTGGTGGTGGTGATGGTGGTGATGGTGATGGCAATGGGCCATGCCCGAGTCCATTGTCAATCACGCTGCGCCGCTCGTTGTAGAAATCACCGCAAATGTCAACACCACCATGATCATCATCACCACCATCATCATCATCATCACCACCATCATCATTACCACCATCATAATCACCACCATGATCATAATCACCACCATGATCATCATCACCACCATGATCATAATCACCACCATGATCATAATCACCATCATAATCACCACCATGATCATAATCACCACCACCATCACCACCATGATCACCACCATGATCATACTCACCACCACCATCATCATAATCACCACCACCATCATCATAATCACCACCATGATCATATTCACCACCATCATCATCATCATCACCACCAGGATCACCACCACCACCATCATCATCACCACCATGATCACCACCATCATCACCACGAATTGAATCGGCGCTGCTGCTGCTGCTGGCAGTGTTGCGCAATGAACAAATCAACTCTCACCACGTCAACAGTAGCGCAGCGGCCTCACGAGGACAACAACAACAAACTAGACGAGTCCACAAGGATGTTCATTCGTGTGCGTGAAGAAGGACCATTGCCCGAAACGTCGCCGATTTTGTACTTGTCTTCTTTGAAAGCAGGGTGGAAGGATTTGGTCAGAATCTCCAACGACGGAAATATTCCTCCAATAATATATCAACAATATATCAGCTACTAATAGCTACTTACCAGTCGTAATAATTAACACTCGAATTAAATAATAACCGGTTATCACAGTTTGTTTTAATTAATCTAATTATTATCAGACCCCCATAGTGTAAGCAAGTAAAATCTACAACTCTTATTATCCACTCTCTCTACTGGCCTCTCTACGTATCTACTGCATGTTGAACTTCTTTCGCACCGTACGTAGCCAACCGCGCTAATCGGAGATGCGAGAGGAGGCAGGATAACGAACTCAACACAAAAAGCTGTTCTAAAAAAATGAGTTTTCAATCGATATTATTTAAAAGGGGAAAGCTCCAACGGCTTCCGAACAGCGGACGGAGGAGCGTTCCAGACGGCCGCAGAAGCGCATCAGAGAGCTCGCGATGTAGACACGTCTCAGACTCTGTAGAGACGTATCAGACCCTCATTGTCCACCCTGTCTCTCTACTCGTGTCTCTGTCTGTGTTGCGAGGATGATGTAGACAAGTCTCATACCCTCATTGTCCACTCTGTCTCTCTAATCGTGCCACTACCCGGATAGTCGCAGATGGCGTTGCTCATCCTTTGAAGGTTGCAGCGCTCTTGACGAGTGTGTTAAGTTGTTGTTGTTGTTATTGTTGTTGTTTCTGTTTGTGCACCACTGCCAACGCAGCAGCAGCACCAGCAAACACGTCGAGTCAGCAGATCAGCAGCGCTACGAACTCTTTTCTGCGTCTTGTCATCGTTGCTTAACAAAGTCCCAAAGACCAAAAACACCCACGGTTAGCAACAAACAGCACTATTCAAGTCGTCAGAGATAATGATTCATGCTCTCGGCTTGTCGTTATTGAGCAAGTTAGTTTCAGTGGTAGAGCGAGCGGAACGTTGCAAATTGAAATCCTGGTGGGGGGTTGAATCATCATCCCTCTGGGGTCGATAAAGTGCGTACCACTTTGTGGGGAAGTCAAAGGTGATTGCCCCAAGGACTGACTCGCCCCCCGCCATAGGAATGTGGAATGTCCACCATTGGCTCAGGGCTGTAAACAGGAGACTAGCACCGCATCAATGACCACTGTGAAGCACAAGCCACGTGGACTTCCTTTGTTTAATGAGAACTTGGAAAGAGACGAGGGGAGGGGAATTCCAAAGTGGAGCAGTGGGAGGGAAGAAGCAGAGAGAGGGGGGTCACCTCCAGTGTGGTGAGTGGGTGAGTTGGTGAGTGTGTTGTTGTGACCTGCAGTGTGGTGAGTGGGTGGGTGAGTGGGTGAGTGTGTTGTTGTGACCTGCAGTGTGGTGAGTGGGTGGGTGAGTGGGTGAGTGTGTTGTTGTGACCTGCAGTGTGGTGAGTGGGTGGGTGAGTGGGTGAGTGTGTTGTTGTGACCTGCAGTGTGGTGAGTGGGTGAGTGGGTGAGTGAGTTTATTGTTGTGACCCTCAGTGTGGTGAGTGGGTGGGTGAGTGAGTGAGTGAGTGGGTGAGTGAGTGGGTGAGTGTGTGGGTGAGTGGGTGAGTGGGTGGGTGAGTGGGTGGGTGAGTGGGTGAGTGTGTTGTTGTGACCTGCAGTGTGGTGAGTGGGTGAGTGAGTTTATTGTTGTGACCCTCAGTGTGGTGAGTGAGTGAGTGGGTGAGTGAGTGAGTGGGTGAGTGAGTGGGTGAGTGGGTGGGTGAGTGAGTGGGTGAGTGAGTGGGTGAGTGAGTGGGTGGGTGAGTGGGTGGGTGGGTGAGTGAGTGGGTGAGTGAGTGGGTGAGTGAGTGGGTGGGTGAGTGAGTGGGTGAGTGAGTGGGTGGGTGGGTGGGTGAGTGAGTGGGCTGTGTTGTTGTTGTAGTCTGCAGCGTGGTGGTTGAACGCGACGAAACAGCAGTCAGTGTGTGGTAGACCGAGTCCTCAACACGAGTGGAACATCACGGCAACGGTGACCACGACAGCAGCCGTAGCAGAGTGATCAGGGGGCCGACCGACCGTGAGCCGGCGAGCGCTCCGCATCGATCGACGGAGCTGGCGTGCGACTTGAAGGTTGGAGTCGTGAATGCGGTGTGGACGCCGATGAGAGAATTGCGCGCTCGTCCGTCTGTCCCGCCGCAGTGTTCGTGGACCCGCGGCGGGCGGCGCTAGTGCTGCGACGCACGCGCAGGAAGAACAGCGACTTTGAGGAGCTGCGTCCCGGGTCGATCGAGCGCGAGTGTCGCGAGGAGACTTGCTCCTTCGAGGAGGCGAAGGAGGCGGTGGGGCACGAGCAGGCGGTACGTGGCTCTACCCCCCCCCCCACCACCACCCTCGCCCCCCTTGTGGGGTCAAGTTGGAGGTGGCGGAGGAGGCGCAGGTTTCTTGCCTCGTGCCAGGGCACGTGGCGACGACGCCACGACACCGTTGCCGTCACACCGCCACACACGTCAACACGGACCATTGTGATTATTATTATAATTATATTATAATAATCACCATCTGCATCGTGAGCGCCTGTATCAACAATGATACTCTTACCACCATCACTACCGCCACGACCACAAACATCAACAACATCATCATCATCACAACTTATCACAGTATCGACCACGGTCAATACCACTGATACCACCACCACAGCCACCATCATGATCACCACTACCAGCGAAACCACAAACAGCACCACCATCATCATGATGAAAACTCACTACCACTGTCATAGAGCAAATAAACACTCCTACCACCAAGCCTGCAATAAACATTAACCTTCTTTTTCTTGGCTCTGCTGATGAGACACTGTGTTTCAAAACCGGTCCATAATTCGCTTGCCTTGCATTCAGACAATGCTGCTGGAATGTCGCACTCCCAGAAGGCCGTGGCGGCTGCTGAGATGTGTAAAAACACTCAAACTAAACCATTGTTGTTGCGTCGTGCGGTAGGACAGGTATGGGGAGGGCGTCGCGTGCTGTGACCTGACTGGAACCTTTCAGGTTGGGACCATTGGGACGCAATCGCTGAGACTGCACGAGACATTTGTTATCGATAAAAACGTCGTTGCCGAAGCGTGGCCCCAGAGTGCACACAACCCGGGCGCATTCCTCCTCCTCCTCCATCCGTGCGCGTGGGTGGTGGGTGCCCACGCGTGTTTATTTGGTCAATGTTAATATTTGCGATCGCTTTGATGATCAATGCGAACGGGGGGGGGGGTGTCTATTTGCACATCCAGGAGCCGTCCATGCCAAGGCCGCCGCCGCCGCTGCAACGAAGGGGCCCTAGATGTTGGGATATTGTTGTGTTGATGATGATCATTGTGATTATTATCACTATGATGATTCCAATGCATCGGGTAAGCGGCATCCAAGCAGATCCCACCACGGCAAGAGATACATGCCCTGTAGCCTGCGGCGAGCTGGAACGAAGCCGAAATTGTTCTGCTCATATTGAAGCGCTTATTTTCGCGAGACATGAAGACAGAAAAACAATGCTGTGGCTGCTGTTTTAATGAAATATTTGGTGACGCTGTTGCTGTGTTGATAGTGGTGACGCTGTTGCTGTGTTGATAGTGGTGCAGGAAGCACAAATAACATTTGTCAGCAACACTGTGCCCTTGTATCAGAAACAAATGTGGAAATGGTGACGTTTCGGGAAATGTGGCTCTTCAGGGCACATTTCATCCCTTCATTTGTGTGCTGTGAAGAAAGGGCCATTGCCTGAAACGTCGCCCGTTTAATATTTATTTTCTTTTAAAGCTACGGCGTCCGGAGTTTTCATTCTCAAACAAATACTGCTGCTCAAAGCCGCTTCATTTGGCTGATGGGACGATGAACTAAACGTAACACCTCTAAACATACGTTTATGTATTTCTGTATTTCCATGCGGAATTTGTTTAAGCAGTCGCCGCGTCGCACGTTTGGGCCACCAATCGCTCAGCAAGTGACCTTGTTTTTCAATTGACCTTTTTGACCTTTTCCTATTGACCGTTTCACCCGCCGACATCGCCGTTCGGCGAAGTCGGCTGCCAGCAGGCATCGGATGGTTCCCGTTCTGTCGTGACGACTGCCAGTAGTAGCAGCGGCGGCGGCGGCGCGACGTCGGGTCTCTCTTGGCGGTCGCCGAACGAGACTCGTCGACAAGTTCACTTTCATTCCGCTGTCTCGTTGTGCTTTGTTCTGTTTTACAGAAAATATTCTGGGCTCGATATCGCCTAAGCCAAGGTGAGTGTGCTCACGCTCGACTACAAGCGACGATGCTTTGCAAGCGTGCTGACGTTTATGACAATGATGATGTCAGACATGAAGTGATTCATAATTTAAAACTAATTCTTAGGCGAGCGTTGCCACCTAGTCTATTATAGCCCAAATACAGACATTTATCAGACGTCGCTAGGTCTATTATATATAATTATTATTCATATTATCATCATCATCAAATCTGTGCTGCAGTTTACTGCAATCAAGTTTAACATAAAGACCGGTATCATACCTCGACACAAATCAATACTTATACTCTTTGGTTCTTTCGATAAAGTCACGTAGGTATAAAATAAGATTTAAAAATTTTTTATTTATTTTATACCTACGTGACTTTTCAGAAAATAAAATAGATATTTTATTTTCTAACTACGTGACTTTACCGAAAGAACCAAAGAGTATGGATTCCTGCAGTCACGAAAGCTTCAAATAAAAAATCAATACCTGGCACCTGAACAAGGTTGCCAATTTCTGGACTGGCCCGGCCAAACCTGACCGGGTGAAACGGGGGCAGGTGGTCACCCTGTCTGAACTCACGACACCAAGTCGTGTTAGCGTAAACCTCAGAGCGGACGGTCCAGCCAGTGGTGTTGGTGCACACAACACGATGGTGGAGCAGCCGGTCCACCCTGGCCCCCTCTCCTCCCGTCAGTGTATCCTCACGGTGGGGGACAAGTTGGCCAAATGAGTACGACAACAACAACAACAATAAATATAATGCAGTCTGGAGACGATGATGAGTAGATACGGAACTCCATAATAGAGGTTGTTTTGGGTTAGATCACGTAAATATATAAATGTGTCGTTAAACCCGCCACCACCCGACACAGCCAACTAGTAAGGGTTGTCACGTAAACAGAACGTGACCAATTCGTCACTAGTCCAGCACCACCGGTGTGTGTTGAAGAGCCACGCTCACATTTTGAGGACTCTGCTTCGTGTCCTGTCCTCCGGAGACGTGGGGCGACTCCACAACAGCTCAGCGCCAGGGGGTTGTGAAACGGCGACACTTGGTTTCAGAAGCTCTCACAATAGCGACCGGACTCCAGTATAGCGTTGAACTTTATTTCAGTCAAATGAACGATTTGTAAAAATTAGATGTCGGCTGACTTGAGAAACATGTCTGGGACTGGTCTGTGCAGTAGGTGGCAACCCGACTAAGACTGCTTTATCTACAGCACGTGTTTACGCATGTCGCGTCTTTACCTTAATGTTCACTCAAACGCGTGGCGTATCGCTAATCGGAGCCAAAGCGCCGCCCGGAATGCCATCCGTGCTTCACACCGGCAGCAGCTTTCAATCTACCCCGAGAGACACTTACGGCCCACCTCGTTAAGGCTCCAACCTCTTTCTCGTCTGGATTTGCGGTGGCACTTAAGCTTGGCCCTGCTCCCCTCATTGTCACGTTCATTTATTTTCTGGTAAACGCCGTGCGTGTTGCAAATGTTCGTTCCGCCAATGCTCTGCTGACCATCGTCCAAAGCGGGTGCCTGTCCTTGCATAGATCGCCCGCTGGGCTGGTTGGGCCAGGCCACCCAGGAGAGAGTGGAGCGCTGGTGGGGTGGGTGGCTTCGTTTTGGTGCCTCCCAGCCTCCAGCACGATCACACTTGGACACCCCATTGTGTTAACTTGTTTCAAAAACAAGTCGCCACGGTGTCAGGGCTTTTTGCACGAGACGCCGTGCAACGTTCGAAAAATGCCACAGAGTAACGCGCAAACATAAATGTGCGCAGCAATGGATTCTTTTCGCTCGTGCAAATACAACAGTTGTAACAAAGGAGATCAGACGGAATGAGAACAAGCAGGGCGAGCGATGCGTATACTGTGCACGTGAGACAGCGCAGTCTGAAGCAGAGGGTAGTGACATGGCTGTAATGTTTGTTACGTGACAGACAAATCTCTACTTTTACTCTCTGCACTGTGATTTAGCTAAATTAGGTGCAGAACCCAATGTGATGGGGGCTGTTGTGTGCAGGCGCTGGTGACCGGGCTGAGATCAAATCACAACACTTGAGACCCGTGGTTTGACCCCCACTTGTAAGACCCATTGTACGTCTGCGGGTCTCTATTGGTCTCGATAAGTCTATGAGTATCTATGTGAGTCTAAATTATAAAAAATTCAACGTTTTGTTTTACCGGGTAAGGCCTACTGAGCCATATAGCACTTCTTGAGAAGCGACCTGGCCACATAGCTGAACGAAGTGGCTTATCACGGGGACATTTATAGCGGCCAAATATTGTACTCTGAACGCTCGTTCCAAAAAGTTGAGGAATTAACCGAAGGATCCGGAGAAAAATCCACGCGACCACAGGGAGAGAGAGAGACACTCCAAATATACAGCAGGCGTCAGGGTCGGGATCGAACCCATGCCCGCCTGTATACCAGGCGAGATAGTTAACATCTCGGCATGATAGCGTCATTGAGACCCACGCTTTGAGACCATCAACTGACCACACTTGAGAACTCTGAGTCACGGTTCTCAAATCCCAGATCTGAGCGGTGCGAGCTCAGCGCTCCGACCTCTCACAGCCGTAGCCAACAAACACTCTGGCGCCCAGAGCAAGGTTCCAGGCTTGTGCCCCCCCCCCGGCCGCCATCACTACCCCCCGCCCCTCAAACATTGTAAGCCAGCAGGCTGTGCCACTGCCTGCTTCATTCCCTACGAATCAGCGAGACATTCGGGCTGGTGGCGCCGTGACCTTTGACTTCGTGACCTTTGACCCCACCCCCCCTCCTCTCGTATCATCGTACAGTCAGTTCTCGTATAACGCTGAGTGTTTTCATAACGTGATGAATGCATTTTAGGAAACACTTTTTTTTATAACGTGGATGCGAATTGGATATTAAATACAATCGAGCGAATTTAACGATGTCGCGCAAGTACAAATAAGCGGTCGTTCGGCTGCCTCGGCGTAGCATCGCACAAGGTGGTGGGATGCTGCTGGATACTTCTGGATGCTATCCACGCGCCTCGGTCTTTGTTCGTCCTGTGTTATGCATTTAGCGCGTTTTTTATTATTTATTACAATGCGATATTTTCTTTCCGTAACGCGGCGTTCTTCAGGAGCGCAACTCCAATCTACCGCGCTCTAGCGGAGCGCACCGTCTGTACCGTTCTGCTAACGGAGCGTTGTGCGGGGCAGGCGGCTTTCAGGGGCGCGCCCCGGCCCCGCGGGTCACCCCAGTGCCGCCCCAACCCCTGCAAGAACGGCGGCCGCTGCTTGGAGCTGCGCTCGGCCGCCCGGTGCGTCTGCGCCGAGGGCTGGGAGGGAGACACCTGCCACGTCGGTGAGGAGTCGCCGCGACGACGCTCACGGCGGAGGCCGGTGCGAGGGTGCCGGCGAACTCGGGGAGAGCCCCTCTCACCACGACCACCACGACCACCACAGCCACCACCACCACCACAACCACTACAACCACCACCAAAACCACCACAACCACCGCCACAACGACCACCACCACAGCCACCACCACCACAACCACCTAAACCACAACCACCTAAACCACCGACGTCGGTGGGGCTGGCAGGGCTCGACGTGCCAACCTGTGGGGGCTGTGGGGGCTGTAGGGGTCTTCCGTGGGGGGGGGGGGGGGGGGGGGCTTATACTTGGGGGAAGGTGGCGGGGAAGAGGCGACCATCATTCCCAGGGGAGTGTGGGTGGGTGTGCGGGGGCTGGAGGCGGAAAGGTCAGGGCCGGATTAAGCTAGTGCGGGGCCTGTAGCAAATGTTACAAAAAAAAGCACACATTTTTTACTTGCTTAGTCAAGTAATTGTATTTTTTCATTCGCTATACAGCCAGATAATACGACAAATCGCTAACCTTAAACACCCAGTCGTTCATACATGTTTCAGGCGGTATAGTACTATAGTAATAGAGCAAGTGCAGAATCACTGAACCGGAATTGATAGCTTGACAGCGTTTAGCGCGGGGCCCTTGAAAGTACGAGGCCCGTAGCTACATTTGTAGCTACTTGTGCTGCTACGAGGATCAGCCGGCACTGGGAAGGGTTCGATATCTTTCACGTTCATCTTTCTCAACCGTCTGCAGTCATTTTATTTTTTGTTCCTGTAATACTGTGCCGAGAGTTATGTTGGCAAAACATCAGCACCGGGGAGACGAAGGCGGCCGGGCGTGGTAATGGCCACCCACCCCCTCGTGTGTCTTGCCGGCCTTCATGAGTGCTGCTCGCTAGCAGCACTTGCCCCAACAGTCTTGCAGAGGCGATGCGGGCCCTCTTCGTCCTTGTTTGAGGCAGGACATGCTGAGCTGTTAGGGTCTCGTGATCCGCAGAGGGGGTGCCACGGTGGCTAGGAGATGTTGACTACCTCGCCTAGTCTCCAGGAGGTCGTGGGTTCGATGACATCCCCTGATACCTGCTGCTGTATATTTGGAGTTTGCGGTGTCTCTCTCTCCCCGTGGTCGCGTGGATTTTTCTCCGGGTCCTCCGGTTTTCCCCTCCATGTTTAGAATTGACATCACCACACTTGGCTGCTGCCATAAATGTCAACGTGATGACGATGCCACCTCGTTGAGCTCTCATTTGTGGCTTCTGGAAAAGATCTACACGGCCCAGTGGGCCTTCACTGTTACAACGGTTTATAGTTTAGTAGTTTATACTTTATAGTATGCCACGGCTTCACGACCAACCTCCCCTTCCTCCCCACCCCTCCGTATGAACAGAGATCCGGTCGTGCGACAGGAACAACGGTGGCTGTGAGCACTACTGCGAGGCGAGTCGCATCTACCGCCTGGTGTGCCACTGCGCTCGAGGATACCAGCTCAGCGACAACGGCTTCAGCTGCGACCAGATCGGTGGGTGGTGGTGGGCCACGCCACGGCCGCCCACCCAGTGCCGCATTATATTATCCTAGCAGCAAAAGTAGCTACACATATGTAGTAGCTACTACATGTGTGGTAGCTACTACACATGTAGTAGCTACGGGCTACGCACTTTCAAGGGCCCGCGCTAAAAACTTTCAAGCTATCAATTCCGGTTCAGTGATTCTGCACTTGCACTATTACTATAGTACTATACCGCCTTCAACTTTTATGAACGACTGGGTGTTTAAAATTTGTCGTATTATCCGGCTGTATAGCAAATGAAAAAATACAATTACTTTACTATGCAAGTTAAAAATGTGTGTTTTAATATTTACGTGTTTCTTTTTTAATTTGGGGCCCCTTTATAACATCATGCTACAGGCCCCGCACTAGCTTAATCCGGCACTGCCCCCCCCCCCCCCCCCCCCGGGGCTCGCACCCCGCTGCCCGGCTCGGCCGACTGCCAGCCGGACGGACGGAGGGACAGAGGGACCTTGAATAAAAAGATTCATTGTTGCGCCCGAAATTAATAAAACTAAAATCTAAATTCCCGAGGCGAGGGCGAAGGACAATGATGGTCCTTGAGGAGCGCCGAGTGACATGGAGCCGCGTATCGCGAGAGGCATCGCTTTGAAGGCGGCACGGAGCCACCGCTCAGCTCAGCTCCTCAATCGCTTGCAGACGAGGGAAGGGTTCCGAGATAAAACAAATGAAAGCCCCGTTATGAACGTGCCTCCGATGTGCGATCACGCAGCGCGAGCGTCGTCCACCTCGGAAACACTGAGTTAAGACCTCAGTGGGCTTCGCCTGCTAAGACAAAACAACGCTTCAGTTTTATTTGTTTTATATTTTTTCAAGTGATTTGTTTAACTTTCCTATACTTGGCACTGCCGTCGAGTTTCTGTCTTTGTTGTTGTAACGTTCTGACATGGCCACTATTGGACATTTGTCAAAAAGAGCTTTATAGCTCATAGGATTCCTCCAGTATAAATTAATGTCCTGATTCTGCGTAGTTTCTTTACGTTTGGTATTCGGGCCGTCATTGTAGCGCAGCGCTGGATCACGAAGGAAGTCGCTGCTGCTGTGTCCCACAGATGGGTAGAGGCTGTCAGTAGGGAGCGCTGCTGCTGTGTAATCTCAGTTGAGCCATCTGCGGTGTCATTTTTAAATTTTGACAAATTTAGTCCGTGACGCCAGCGCACAATGGTCGAGTCGTTTCGAAATGACGTCCAAAGTGGAGCAGTGCGAGATACAGAGCAAGGGGTGTTGTGAGCTTTAATGTGCCGAGTGGGTGCGTGGGTGGATGGGTAGGTGAGTGTGTGGGTGAGTGAGTGAGTGAGTGCGTGGGTGGATGGGTAGGTGAGTGTGTGGGTGAGTGAGTGCGTGGTGTGGTGGGGGAACGGCAGTGTAGCGGGTAGCGCGCTGCGGTACGAAGCTGGCGACCCGGGTTCCATTCCCGCTCACGACAAACATCTCCTGAAGCAGTCGTGGGCCTCCCCTAAGTCGACTCAAATGAGTGGCTGGTGAGTTGTGTCAACATCGCCATTTGTGTGCCGTGGCAGCCTTCATAGGTGCTCGCTAATAGCACTTACTCCTACAGTCTGTTAAGGCTATACGGGGGATCTTTATCTTTGTGTGGTGAGTGGGTATGTGGAGAGTTCAATGATGTGAAGTTCACGGGAACAGTAACCATGACAGCAGCTATAGAAGAGTGATGAGGAGGCGACCGACTGAATCTGTGAGCGCCGGATCATCAATGGACTGTCATCTCGGGCGGACGCGGGCGCCGTCGTCCGTCGCAGTGGCCGTGGACTCGCGTCGCAGGCCACCGGTGCCGAGACGCGCGGGAAGCTGAGTGACGAGGATGAAGTCGCCGCCGCTTCTGTTCATCAGAAACGTGGGGGGCGTGAACGGGTCGCACCCAACCCTCCCCCTTAACCTCCGCACCTCCTCTGTCGCTGAATGCCCCCAGACTTGGGCGCTTGCGGGAGGACGGTCATGGACCAGACGGGGCGATCGCTGGGAGGGGACGGCGATGTCTGGGAACCCGACCGCTTGGTCCGCTGCCAATGCCACCGCCGATGCCACCGCCAATGCCACCGCCAATGCCACCGCTGCCACCAATTCCTCCGCCTTCCCGGCGCCTCCCGAGCGGATCGCGTCGCCGCTGCCGCCGCCGCCACAACCCCCCACAGAACAGGGGAGCGAAGCCCTGGCTGGTGGGGGGCCCCGGCCGATGGAATGGGGGCCCCCCCCGACGGGGGAACCGGAAGCGCAAGCCGCGTCCACCGTGACGCCAGACGGCATGAGGATCGTGGGAGGGTACATTTGCCCGCGTGGGCACTGCCCTTGGCAGGTGAGTGCTTCGCCGCGGTTCAAAGTCTCCACGTGAGTGGCGCCCCCTTAGGGGCGATGGGTGGCACCGGACCGCATCACAGGGAGAGAATAGAAACAAATCGGTGGAGGAATTTAAAGCAGATTTATTCTTCACTTTTCTTCCATCGTCGATCTCATGATTATTATTTGTTCATCATCGTAAATTGCCACCGCTTTAGTTCTATGCAGGCACTGTGAACCCTCCCTTCGCACGTATTCCGTGCTCGCTACCGTCACACCAGCTGCTCTAAACAGCCGCTGTGAACCTTCCCTTCCCATGCGAGTTGCCTGCTGCACCATCAGCCGGGTCACCGTTAAACAAGGAGCTTCTTCAATCAATGGGCCCTACCCAATATACACCAACTCACTGATAAACGTTTTATTTTGACCAGGTAAGGTCCATTGAGCAATGTAGCTCTTTTACAGGAGCGACCTGGCCACAAATGGTAGCATGGAAATGTAGAGCAGCCAAAGTCTAAACGCGTGATGTCGATTCTAAATGTGGAGGGAAAAACCGGAGGACCCGGAGAAAAATCCATGCGACCAGGGGGAGAGAGACACCGCAAATGTACAGCCGGCGTCAGGGTCGGGATCGAATCCACGACCCCCTGTAAACCAGGCGAGAGGTCACATGATGTAGCTGATCACCCCGAGCTCTCAATGTCCTGATAGTGGCATTGTCTCTGTGCTGTTCGCCTTTTGGCGTCCTCTGGTCTAACGCTGTTTGAGACGAGGCTCTCAGGAAAGCTGTCTCTGGTGTGGACCAATCAGTTTCAAAGATAATGCATCATATACTACCAGGGCATCGGCGCGTCCCTCCCCCCGGCCCTCCCAGGTGCTGCTCACGGACCGGCGCGGCAACGGCTTCTGCGGCGGGACGCTGGTGTCGGCGCGCTGGGTGGTGACGGCGGCGCACTGCGCTCGCTACACCAAGCAAGTCCTCGTCCGCATCGGTGAGCGGAGAGAATCCCCCCCCCACCTTCCCCCCCTCCGTGGTAGAGGGGGGGGGGGGCGACCCCGGAGGTGTCCGGTGTCTAATCGGCTCGCCCGACGTTAACTCTTGACCGGGCATCGAACTCGGATGGCCAGAACCACCGCTCAGCGCCACCGCTCAGCGCCACCGCTCCCAAAGACGGTGGGGGCCGGTGTCGCTCACGTAACGCCCCATCCCGCCCCCCCGTGGCGCCAATTAGCAGTTGCTCGATTCATCTTTAGGGACTTCAGACTCACGCTGTGCGTTTCAGTCACGCACTAAAGAAAAAAATTGTCAAATGTCATTTTTCTCAATAAAAAATATTTATTTTCAGTGACAAACGAAAAATGTTTCGCAGGTTCACCGACTGACGTCTCGAGCCGATGGCGTCCTCGCGTCACGACGCAGCCGTCGTAGATCCGAGCCCGTTGACCTTTTATTTTCCCTCTTTCTTTATTCCAGGCGAGCACGACGTGCGGCTGACCGAGGGCTCCGAGCAGAACCTGCCGGCCAACCTTATCGTGCCGCACCCCAACTTCGACAGCGACACCTTCGACAGCGACCTCGCCCTCCTGCGGCTCAACTCGTCGGCACGCCTCGACCGCTACGCCGTGCCCGCGTGCCTGCCCGACCGCCGGCTCGCGGAGCTGCTCACCCAGCCCGGCACGCTGGGCGTCGTTTCGGGATGGGGCCGTGAGCAGGAGCACGGCCGCAACTCGCGCTACCTGCAGTGGGTCGGACTGCCGGTGGTGCCCACGGCCACGTGTGCCCAGTCCACGGAGCAGGTGATGGTCGGGGTCGTGCAGGGGGGGGGGGGGGCTGTTGGGGGGTGTTTGGGTTGAGGCTCTGCGGCTACGGTCTCTGCAGATGCGTGGTAGCTGCTGTCACTTAACCCCAAACACTAACCCTAACCTGGTAAGACAGATTTTATTTATTTCATGAGGTAGGGCCCAATAAGGCTCTGTTTCATGGGTGTCCTACGAAGGTGCAGATTTTATACGCTACGGATCATAGTTACGAGCACTGTTAATCCTACAAATGTAAAACGAACCATAACCCCTAACCTCTCACTGCTGACCTTTAACCCTGAACCACAAACCCGCTGCCTACGAGATCCGAGCAGGGGCGCCGCAATGACGAGATGTTCACTACCTCGCCGGGTGTGCAGGGTCGTGGGTTCGATACCAACCCAACACCTGCTGTAATTGTGCATGCTCTCCCCGTAGTGGCGTGGATTGTTCTCCAGGTATTTCACTCCACATTTAGAGTCAACACGCATTCAGGGTATTTGGCTACTTTAAATTTCCACGTGATAATCCACTTATTTTGGCTATCATTTTTTTTGTTTGTTACAAAACCCAACATTGTGACGATGCCGAACGACGCAGACGCTGACTCTGGTCAACCCGCTCGCTCCTGCCGTCCACAGAAAGTGACGCAGAACATGTTCTGCGCGGGCTACGCCGCGGGGAGGCAGGACGCGTGCAAGGGCGACAGCGGGGGGCCCTACATGAGCCGGCGGCTCGACACGTGGTTCCTCACCGGTGTCACGAGCTGGGGCGAGGGCTGCGCCCAACGCGGGAAGTACGGCGCCTTCACCCGCCTCGCCAACTTCATCGACTGGATTGAAGCCACCATGCGCGAGAACGCATCGTAACGGGCCCACGGACAGTCCCGGCGTGTGCATTCGCCAAGCTTTAGCGCGTAGGTTGTTTTTCACAATCATGTTTTTTGGGTGAGATCGCGTAAGTAGAACTGTGCCGTAACCCTCCACCACCCGACAGATTGGTCACGTCAACAACGCGCCAGTCAGATTGGTCACGTCAACAACGCGCCAGTTAGTTACGACTTCAGCACACCACCGGCGTGTTGGAGAGTAAATCCACAACATTTACAATCTGAGTAGTACGACGTTTCGCTGGTAAATACACCCAGCATCATCGGGCGAATTGCCAGAATAGTGAAGCAATGCACCTGCTTCCAGTCTTCAATAGAGCAGCAGCAGCAGGGCGAAGTCTTCACTGAGCCCACCAGGTGCAGAGATCAGAGGCGGAGGTGGGGGGGAGTATTGTAATTCTATAATAGATTAATAATCAGTTAATTAGTATGTTTCCTTTATACGGAATTGTAGTTGTAAGATGTATTACTGAATAATATCCTTCCAGTCCGTACTAAGCCTATAGCTGTCAGAGCGGTGAAAACTATTTGTATTTTACAGTCAATGTTATCCGAATATATCGAAGTCAGCTCGAACCTGCCCGTGTGTCACCCGACTTGTGTCACCCGACTTGTGTGTGTGCGTGTGTGGCCGCGCACCCCCCCCCCTCCGAATCCCTCCCCCTAAATAAAAACAGACGCTGCTGCTACGTGCAGTGTCGAGGCCCTCGTTGACGAGTCGTGTTCAGTTTGCTTGTGCACCACTGCCAACGCAGCAGCACCAGCAGCAACACCAACTCGTGTTGCACTGCGCTGTCGCCTTCGTTCTCATCGGGTGTCAATGTGTTGTACGTTAAGCCGGCAAATTCACGGTTTAAATGCCGAGTCACTCATTGCCTCTGTAGACGGTAATGCGGTTTCCAAATCTCCAAAGAGATCTCCCCAAGAGACTTGGACCTAACGTGGCATCGTTGTCTGGGCTGCCGACTGTGCCTGGCAAGGGCAAAAAGCCCTCCCTGGTGGTCGCGTAATGAAGAGCGGTCAAGGTTTCATCAGCCGCTCATCCTCTCTGCAAATACAGACGATAAGATCTGTGGCTCAACAGCCATTCACTTAACAGTAAACAAAAAATATACGAATACTCATCTAATTTAGAACAGGTTTTTTGCATTAGATTGCGTAAATATAAATGCGTCGTTGAACTCGTCACCATCCGACAAAGCCAACGAGTAAGGTTTGTCACCCCAACAGAACATGCCAGTTCGTTACTGGTACAGCACACCGGTGTGTATTGTGCAGCTTCACGGTTGGAGCCCAGCGGCCGCCCAGGTTAATGCCATGGGCGAATTAACCATGAATTCGGTGCCTTTCGCTTCACAGTGGACAATAAAGATCCGTGATATTTATTTGAAAAACAGTAGGACATGTGTGCCGGTGTCATGGTCCAGATTTGCCAAATTTTCAGAATTACCTGCATACAGATTATCCTCCCTCGATTCACGAACGTCCGGTTCCCGAAATTTCGCGTAAACGCAACCGACAAATTATGGGCACGAAACGTCACTCCGGCACGCGCCGTGAGATCATCGAACAAGAAGCCACCCGGGACGCTGGGTCGCCATCCGTCCACGACGGCGTGACGGTGTCCCAGCAGCACAACAATAACGCGCCTCCACGTCACCTTCAGTCACTCCGACGTGCACATCTTTTGGCGAGGTTCCTGGAAAGGTTAAATATTTTTGTTTAAAAAGTATTATTATTCAATTATTTGTTATATGTATGTCCTTTACTATTATTTTTTATGGTCAAAGTGATGTAGGTGGTGTATATTTTCAGGTTAGTAGTGTGAATGGCTGTCTGAAACACAAACCTCATCTCTAGTATTAAATTAATGGGGAAAGCCGCTTTGATTGACACCATTTCGTTTCAGGAGTGTTGTTTTAAGGACGCATCCCTTTCGTGAATCGAGGGCTACTGGTATTACTCGATAGGAAAAATGCACAGCAACCATCGGCCCATCTCCTCTCAAAAGTAGCACGACCCTCCTGGAACAAGTGTCTAGAGATTCCCGTTAGAGAGTAGAGCCACTCCGCTAACTTTGCCATAAACATCGAACAGTTTATAATACAAAAAGTACCATAAGGGTATCGTACAAAAGCTCTGCACGGTTAACACTGACAACACAACACTACAATGCAAGACAATGCGGCAGGCAGCAAGTTGTGTCACTTCAATTGAACAAATTGTATTTTCATCATTTTTATCTTAGATTTTAGAGGGTACATTTCCTTAAAAAAAACAAAAAAGCAACACAACCAGTCCGTTTAAAGCGTACAAACGTGGCGAAGAGAGCAGGAGGAATGAGTTGTACAACACCGAGTCACCCGTTTCCGCCAGAGCCACATTCCTCGCAGAATTCCAGTTAGACGATAACTCAAGTATCCTCCATCGAGAAACCAAGCTGAAGGCCAACTTGAGCTGTTTAGAAAAGTGACCGCCCCCCCTCCTCCCATTGCTGATAAAATCTGCCAAAAAGAGTCGAGTTATCATGTTCCGCTTGTGGAAAATCAGACTTTCCCATAAACACTCGTGAGTAGAAAGCAGAGGCCGGGTCGATGATTCCACTCGTTTACCCAAAAAAGCCTTCACCTAGTCTCAAGACTATGTTGGTCAGGAGGGTCCTGCAAAGTTTAAACGTTGGCAGAGGGCCATACTGCTGCTGCTGCCACTCTGTGCGAATGGTCCCAATTGAGTTTGTAGTCGGTAATTTTTCAGTATTTGGAATGTTTGGCCAAATACGAGTTCGTGTTTTTTTCCTGTTTAAATTAAGAGAAGCACGGTGGGGCGGTGGCGATGCTCGCGGCTCACAGCAAGAAGCAACCTGGGTGCGATTCTGGACCTGCTGTGTATGGTTTGTATGTCCACCCCTTGTTCTCTATGGGTTTCCTCCGGGTTTTGTGGCTTCCCCTCCCTCATAGCTAAAAAAAACTATTTTACTGGTATTGGCCAAACATCCCAATTCTAAAAAGTTACCGGCAAATTACTCAGTTGGGATTACAAGCAGAAATATTTAAAGGATCCACCTTGAAAATAGTCTTGATATTCGGAGATGCTTTCCTGGGTAAAACAAGCGTAATAATGAATGTTACAAGTTAAACTAAATGCTCCCCCCGCCTGACCGTAACGTGATAAAACAAAATAATAATTTGCGTCATTGTGGAGAATACAACCAAATAAATCAGCAGCCAATGTCACAAAGCCGGTCCGGAGTTTGCTTGTGTTCAACCAATGCTGCTGAAATGCATGAACACCATGCAGCTGATGGAATGTGTACAACATTTGTTTTGGAGGGACATGCAAAAGGCCTATTTATTTATTCGATTATTAACATCACCGGCTTATTCACTTTGACTGCAACGAGCTTGGTGATGTATTTTTTTTCGGCTCGACTCAAATTCTTTACGCAGTTAATTCCACCCATTCCCTTGAAGCAACATCGATCCCAAAAACAACAACAACCCCCTTGCCACGTCCCCCAAATCCAGGGCGCACTTGAGGTCGCGAAAATAAATCGACGAGGGAAACGCACCTCGAGAGGGCAACACGAGTTACGCGGACAACTGGGATGGGAGGCATATCGACTAAAACTAAACTTAATTTATTTCATGAGGTAAGGCCCACTGAGCGACTTGACTCTTTTTTTAGAAGCCACCTGGCTATCTCAAATGAAAGTTCAACGTGTACATTTTTAAAATGGTGTCGGCAGTGTGGTGGTGGTTATCGATTATGCAGGCGGGGCAACTCCACTGGGCTCTACAGGCCGGAAGGGTTCAGGCCGGGAGAGGGAGGGAATTCGGCTCCCATATCATTCCTTGCATCAGGGTCCATGTCAAACTACCACGCTATACCGATGGCTATTTTATTTTAGGCCGCTAAAAATACCCTTATCTGTTCATTGAATACAAGTTAGCCACAATTCACCAAGACGGCACTCAACGTGTTGCGTTCGATCTGCAGGGAGCAGGCACAGAGTTCAGTGTTTGTTGTGCCCTCTAGCGGGCAAGGTGGCCTGCCCAGCTGAACAAAAGTCCTTGCGAGTACATTTGATAAAACACCGAATGACGGGACAGCTCTTTTATACCCACCCGCGAAAGGTCACAGCTCTGCGGTAAGAAGCAAGACCTTTATGCACAAACAACATTTAGCGTCAAACTATAACGACCCGCTGGGCTGCGCAGTAAAAACACATTTCCTTTTCTCGTCATCTCTTCTCCATCGTTTTTCCCAACCGACTCAATCTCACTGAACATTCAAGTGTCTAACACAAGTCTGGTCTAGACGCATTTATCAAACAGCTCACACCATTTTCCAATCGAGCAATTTTTTTGTTTATTTATTTGTCAAGAAAGCTCTTGTAAAGATAGGAGGTGGCAAACAGGGGCATATGGATTCATCAATTCACTGCTTATTAAGGCCTGGATTCCTAGTCGCGACTTGGCTCCGGCTGAAGCGAGCCGACTCAAAACCATGCCCGCACCTCCGATGAGCGCGGTTGGGTACGTACGGTCGAAAGAAGTTCAACAGACAAACGTAACTATGCCCACGGTCCCAGCTGTGCTCAGAATTTCCATGAGCGGAGCCGAACCACCGCCGAGCGGCAAAGCGCCGGGTGAGCGCACCGCTACTCTTGCGTGACACCGCCTGGTGATGGGTGCGAGAGTCGAGAACCGACGGTGTAGGCAGCATCACAGGTTGAGCGACGAGTCGCGGTGGATAACCACACAACGTAAAAACAAACGTAATCCGACATACAAAGCACTAATTAAAACTCGATGGACTAAAACGCGCACGTTATGAACAAAAAACTGCACCAAGACCTTTCGGAGGGCCCACGTCGGAATCACGCAACAGAGTCGCTCGCAAAACTCGCGCAAAGCCGCCGCCGCCTGCAACCGCTTTGTCCACATTCCAGCGCGTATTTGGCGCAACGTACGTTGAACTTCTTTCGCACTGTTCGTGGACAACCGCGCAAATCGGAGGTGTGGGGGAAGGACAACAAACTAAACACAAAAGGGAAGTCTGTCAAAGAGCGTATTATCCAGGATCATAACCACAGCGCTCAAACTTGTCACGTCATGTCGCTGAAAATTATCCGAGCAGATCGCCACTTGGAAGTGGAGTCCGTCTCTACCATGAGCAACCGGTTGCAGAGACGTTCCATGTACAAGCGATTCAGTTGCACGCAACTGAGCTGCGCAACTTCTCGCTCGGGTTGTCGAGCTGGCTTAAAGCTCTGCTCCTCCCCACTGGGGGGGGGGGGGGGTTAATACGTCACGTGAAAGCAAAAACTAAAATGGATTCGACACCCAGTGAAGACTTACGAAGAGTTTTTTTCCAAGACAGCCTTGGTGGAAGGGAACAGAGTAAGAAATGAAATCGAAAGAATTAAGCAGAGGCTGTACACGGTGTGGCTGTCCTTATTATGCCACGTTGGCTGTAACGGGAGAAAACAAACTAGCCTAACTCCCAATATTGAAACATAAAGGTTAGTCTTACAAAGGGCTCAATTCCAGCTGGGTCTATCCGGGTCAACGAGCTGGAAAATCTTTCCACACCCAGCTCATCACATCCACCATACCTCTCGCTATGGAACGTCGCGGCCACTATTCTGGTGCCACCTATTATTCCAATCTAATCTAAAAAAAAAATGTATTTCACCAGGTGAGGCCCACTGAGCTATATAGCTCTTTTTCAGAAGCGACCTGGCCACAAATTATAGCTCAACCAAGTGGCTTATCATGTGTACATGTTTAGTATCCAAATACTCTAAACGCACGTCGATTCTAAATGTGGAGGGGAAAACCGAAGGACCCAGAGAAAAATCCAGGCGAGCACAGGGAGAACATGCAAACTCCAAATATACAGGCGTCAGGATCGAGATCCACCTAACGACCTCCTGTATACCAGGCAAGGTAGTTAACATCTCGCCACCGTGGCACCCCCAGCGACACGGACAGGATTCAGTGAAAGATTAAGCCTTGAACTGACAGAGCAAATCCAATGGCTACTACATAAACTGGCACACACACACATACAAAATAATTTCCAAACACTTAATACATATTACAAAAATGTTATTATTACACATCAATAAGATAAAAAGTTCACTCGCGCCGAATGTTTTGACGGGAGGCGACCGAGAGCCAAGGCGCACACAATTCCCAGCGGCCAGTTACACACAGCACCTCACATGACTTTTGCCCTTTGAACTGCGGAGCAGAGCAGTGGGACGGTGGTTCAAGCACTGCGCTGCCAACTCGGAAACCCAAATTCAATTCCTGGCCACGACAAACATCCAGTGGTGGCGGGTGGAATCTGAACCGGGTCTTGGGAACATACCCGTAATGACCAGCGTGGTGAAGTATGGTCACCCCCCCCCCCCCCCGCCACGGTAAGTGTCCATCAAACAGCGTATTGCCAAAGGGGCTGTATATTCATCATCATCACGATCCATGAACAGATTTCCCGTAGGTGTCCACTGCACATTTCGTCATTTGTTTCCACTCTCCTCTGATTTGTAGTGCCAACATGCTCAAGTCGTGGCCACATCTTCCTGGCACCAATCTCTGACGATGTCGTCATTCTCAAGCCATTCTCTGCGAGGTCTTCCTCTCTTTCCGGTTCCTTCCTTTATTCCCCCGAACATCACGAGTTTTAATTTTCGTGTTGTTGTCCATCACACACACACACGTGCCCAAATAGTGCCAATCTCACTGTATATTACCGTTAGATTAAGTTCCACCGAATCAGAACACTAAGGGAACTGTTAGTGCTTGTAGTTTATGCAACCGGCAATATATATCAGCCCTCATCAGCCACCGAGCTGTCAAGGAGGAATCGACGGTTCAAGCCAAGTCATCGATTACCATGGAAAGTTGTTTTAAAGCAACAGCAGCACGGCTTTGCTAAATACAGCACAACTCACACGATGCAGAAAAAACACTAAACTTAAAACAGCCCAAAAAAGGTAGAAGTCTCCTCTATTTTTGCTTGCAATGAGAGATCTATCGACGAGGCTCCGAGTTCCTTCTTAGGTAGTTCCTGCATAAATTAAAAACCAAACGCTCTGGAATTGTGTGCGGGTCACCGGAATCGAGAGTTTGTTGACCCTGCCCACCGACTCCGGAAGACCAATCAGGGCCACAGAGGTTCGTAGAGGCCCGGCGGTTAGAATACGACGCGGGACCACCGCCCCCCCCCCCGGCCCCAATTAACCAATCAGAGCCCTCTTTTGCCGGGCCCTGGGCAAGTGCCCCCCGCCTCACCCCCCTTGTGCCGTCCAACCGTGGGCGGACTGGTGGCAGGGTACAACAAAGAAGAGGCGGCAAGCAGCACTGCCCACGAGAACGCACGCTTCTCCGTTCAACGCAACCTGGTAACGGAGTTGTTACAATCGACGTGCACCACAGCGTTGCAAACGTGATAAGGTGAAGCCGTCACGACGGTCGTGTCCGTGGTCTACGGAGCTGCGATAGCGAGGGTTAACGTTGGAACCAAGCACCTGCCTTGAGTTTCTGTAAATGATGGGAGTATCAAAACGCCATGGGGCTGGGCATACCCAAATAAACAATGTTTTATTTAATTTTACCAGGTAAAGGCCGACTTGAGCTATGTGGCTCTTTTTCAGAAGCGACCTGGCCACAAATGATTGAAATTTGTAGCAGCCAAATACTCTTAAACCCATGTTTCTTAAATGTGGAGAGAAAAACCAGAGTTCCCAGAAATCCACGTGACCACGGGAAGAACAAACTCCAAATATACAGAAGCCAGGGTCAGGATCGAACCCACAACTTCCTGCATACCAGGCGAGGGAGTTAACATCTCGCCACCGTGGCACCCCATGCAGAGTGATGCTAAGTTCCAGCTAATTTACAAAAGGGAATGCCGATCGCTCCCTTCACCCTGTGTCAACCAAGTAGCTCAGAAATTATTGCTATCTACGTTTCTCGAACATTCCTACAAACTGCATAACAATCACCTGGTGTTCCAACTGCAAATGCCACACACTTGGACATCTGTGAAAATGAGCTTCATAGTTCATCAGATCCCTCCAGTGTAAATAAATATTCCGAAACGCCACTGCCCCCAACTGCTTTTAAAAGTGTGCTGCCGAGAATAATAAACTTGCTATAAAAAACACAACACACGTGGGAGCAAAGTAGGGGGTTAACGGAATAAGCGGTTTAGCGGTGTCGTCCCAACACACCCAACAGACGAATGAAACTCAACCGATGAACTAACCTCCGGACGATAGAAGGTAGCGGGGAGAAGGCACTTGCCAACGGCTTCTCCCCAAGGCCGGATGACACAAACAGACCGAGCCGCCTCGCTAATAAACCTCATGCCTAGGGATCGGAGGAGCGTCGCGCAAGGGGCGAATGGGGTACGCGAGAGCCGCGACATGATTATGCATAAAATAAACACACAAGAGATTTGATATTTCTTTTTATATCCAAATCATGGGGCCGGGCACTTGCTTGTCTACGGTGTGCACTCTCTCGGGAGGAGAGCTGGGAGCTATCACGCGGGCTCGTGTGTGTGTGTGCGTGTGTGCGAGTTGCGCACTCCGGCTAGAGGGGCATGTGGTTCCCCTCGACGCTGATCTTGACGGCACGGATCCCCTTGGTGCTCCTCCGTTTGTCGGCAAACTTCTTCATCTGCTTTTCCACGCGGTTGATGCCCTTCTTGACAGACCCCTGCACGCGCGGACAAAGTTTGACTGCTCAATTTCGGAGGCTCCTGTCGCGCCAGGGACATGGAACAAGGTTCCTCTTCATGGACTTCTCGCTCAACATTTGACATGTTGGAAATCATTAAGATAATAAATCTATCCCGATTGCGCAATCGGCATCGTGCCGTGAGACTCGCCATCTTATTTGATTTCTCGCTGCGCGGCAATGCAAGTTAGAGAACGGCCCACGGAAGCGGATGTTACGGAAACACCTCGGAGCTGCCTTCGAGTCGCCTCTGTTCTACACAATAGGGAGCAGAGCACTTTCCCAACCCACTCTGCGTATGATGGTCATGCTCGTCACATGACAGTCAAGCCGATTTTTGCGTAAGGAACAAAATGTAGTTTGATGTGATTTTGTGCAAGCATTGACTTACTTCACTACACTTGAAAGCAAAGAACTGGGTTTAATCTCGAAAGCATTGCCAGGTCTCAAGACCATTTCTTTTGGCAGGGGAGGAAACTGGACAACTCATAAAAAATCCTACTCGGGTACGCCATGGAACATTCAAACAACAACAAAAAGAAAGATAGAGACACCAACTTGATTTTTGCTGCACCCGCCTGCTTCTAGAGATATTCTCGGTGCGACCCACTGAGCTCTGCTTCCCATATTGCCGGATTACGCAGCCGTGCGCCACCAAACCCAGCAAATACATCATCACCTCGTTTGTTTTGATTAGATCGCGTTAATGTGCCGTTAAACCCACCACCGCCCGGCAGCCAATTTGCAAGGCTCGTCACGTAAATAAAACATGCTAATTCGTGACTAGTTCAGCACACCGATGTGTTGGAGAGTAAACCCACAACATTTATTTCATACTCTTTATTTCATAGCCAGAGTTGGCCGTCGCCAGATGATGCTGGTTGTAATTCCCGGCAAAACGTCGTACTCGAATTGTAAATGTATGTGTTAAACTGAGATAATCATCATTATCAATATCGGCAACCCTTGCTGGATGAAGGCCTCCCCCAACTGTGGTCACCCCTCAACGGTCCTGCGATACCACGAGCCATCCCACGCTGTTGCATGCGAACGGACTTCGGCACTCCATCTTTGCGGCGGACTCCCCTCCCGGATGCGTTCTCTCCTTTGGCCGCCACTCTGGTCAACAGTCTCGGCCATCACCCCTTCAGATGCTGTGTCATGACTATGCTTACTTCCTCGATTCAATTAAATCGTGAATTCCTATTTCTTTCTACAGCCAAGTGCAATTTATAACCGCTTTCTGTATTTAGTTTGTAGGCCTTCCTACGCACGTCCGACGAGCACGGTTGGCTACGTACGGTGGTGCAAAAGAGGCTCAACATAGACACATTCTCCTCCTCCTCCTTGGAGAGTCAACGAAAACCGTGCGCGTTACAAGTTCTAAATGACTTCGTAATTCCTATCACTATTATTCATTATCATCACTACTATTATAATAATTGATGATTGTCAACGAGCGTACCCGGTTGGATTCGACCTCGACGTTCCACTTGGGCCGGATCACGTAGTCGCGGTTGGACGGCATTGGGACGCGTGCTCGCGAGCAGAACCCCGGGTCGCCCGGCCTCAGCGCCCTGCGACAGCAAACAGAGACGGTGGAACGCCATCATGAAAATGAATCTCAAATGTTTAGTAGACATTGGGGGAGGAGTTTTGGACTGAAAAATGTAAATCGTATAGATATATTTTTTAAGGATGTATTTTCTGCTCCGTCCTGTGGATTAGTGCCTCCGAATCATTGCAGATTTTCAGACACCGTTCGCACAACATACTAATTGAAGTGATGTCACCAAACACAAAAGTAGTTAAGTGGCGTCCATTCCAATGACAACATCATTGTTTCGGAACAATCCGAAAAATATTTTTTTCTTAAATGTCGTGTAGAGGCTCAAATTCTGTGATTTTCAGATTCACACAACAATCGTGAACACAACCCGACTCAAGATGCATAATTATGCCCAAACCCCCCCCACCCCCCATGTGATTTCAATGAATAGTCCCATTCACAGTAGCAAGGCGCTCCATTTCCCTATTGTCAATATAGCATCCACGAGTACTTCGTAGTTGCAAAGGGTCACGTGACCAAATTACGCACAAAATGTAGAGGCGCGACCAAAGAGCTTGCTCACGCAACTGCTGGCGGAAGGACCTTTATTCAAGACGGTAGCTTTGGCCTACTCTTCCACGCTGGTTAGACGTTCAGGAAGAAGTGGCAGTATCCACAATTTATCCCACCACCTGCCGATCCACCACGGTGTACAGATTCATACAGATGGATGTACAGAGGCGGGCTAGGGGAGTTAAGAAACTTGACCCATTGTTTCAACTGCCACGCCGGGAGATTGAATAAAACCGGAGACCTTTGGATTGCAAGTCCAGTATGCTAACCATTGGCAAGATTTTCTTAAAATATATAAGATTTTAAATATATTATTTCTTACACACACACACTTTGTTGTCCTTCCCCCGCTCCTCCGATTAGCACGGTTGGCTATGTACTGTGCGAAAGAAGTTCAACATACATACATGTATTTGGAGCTTAATAAACGATACAATCTACAAATCTAAGAACTCAGAATCTGAATGCGATCATGGCGGGTCTGGTTCTACGACACGCCGACTTACTTTTCCTCTCCAGTCAGGACTTTGTCCAGATCTCTGCGGGGAGTCTGGCCGCCGGTACTGAAAATAAAAACATCGTTGCCGCCATCACCGTCTCATCCAGCCACTGACAATGGTGTGAAACAAGACAGCAAAATCGTGCACCGTCACGGATTACTGTTAACGCTCTCCATCGTGGGTTTCCCTTTGGAAATATCTATTTTGCAATATTAAACGTTTCTCCAGCCAGGCGAACGGGAAGCGGCGCAGAGTGATCACGAAGGCTCGATGTTTCACAGACGGGTAGCGTGTGATAATCGGAGAGACGTTGAAATGTGCTTTTACCAGAATTAAGGTCATTTGCGGGAAATTAAATCGCTTTTTGGTATATGTGGACCACGACTCTTTTTGCCCCGAACACCATCGCGGGCCCCTTGAGCGTCCTCTGTGTAGCAACCGGCATGAGCACGTAGTGCATCATGGGTAATACGGCAAGCGCCGGTATTAACAGGGCGGCCGCCGGTCTCCAACAGCGGCGAGTCTCCGCAACGAGCGGCGATCCCCGGCGCCCTCACCTGAGCCGCCGTCTGTGAGGCATCTGCTCAAGGTCCCGCTGCTCGCGCTCCTCGCGGGACATGCCCTTGTAGTTGGAGGTGAGGCCGAAGATGGGACGCGACCATTCGTCTGCGGACGCATGGCGGGGGGGGGGGGGGTTGGAAACGGTGGTGGCACACGCACACACGCACGCACACACGCGGTCACACGGCCGTCCGCATTCACGGCGGCGGGTAAACCGCGCAGCGAAAGAGTGGCAGAGAAGCACGGAGGAGGTGTGCGCTTAGATTTAGACCCAGCAACGCGAGGAGGAACGCCACGGATTACAAAGCGTACGCAGGTTAGAGACGTCTTATCGGGATTGGGCAAAACACGTCGCTGGAAGGGATGATGATGGACAGCGGTCGAGAGTGACGATGGCGACAGAAGGAAACATGCCTCAGAGGATGTCCACTGCGGAGGCGGCGCAATCAGATCGGCTCTCATGCAGGTGTTAGACAGAGCTGTGACATCACAGAATCTTTATTCATTCCTCCTGGGAGGAATCCGATGAGCTATGAAGCTCCTTCTCACCCCTGCCCAGTAGGACCGCGAGAGATGGCAATGACGTTGGAAGTCCAGCGGCTGGCAGTGGATTGATCAAAGCTGATGACGATGATACATGTGGGGTATTAAACAAAGGCGTAGTTGTTCAAAGCAATGAGCTTTGATTTCGGGGACCTGAATTTGATTCCTGGCCACGGCCAAGGATGGGACACCATGGCACGGGGGTTTGTCAGATGAAGACAAGCCTTGTACAGAAAGAGCGGAGTGAGAGGTGGGAGCAGAACCAGTAGAGAAAGGCAATGGAGACATGTACATCATCTTTGAGAAGCTCAAGGAGGTTGGGGTAGTCTATGCTGTCAATAAACTTGCAGAAGGGGTCACGGCAACCAAAATAACAACAAGAGCTATTCGATCTTGATTTGAAGCTTTCGTGACTGCAGGAATCCATACTCTTTGGTTGGCCTGCTGCTGATGCAGACTGTTTTAAAGGTTTGAAATGGGTGTAGCCCAAGGGTTATAAAGGAGTGGCTGGGTCTAGTGATGTTAATGTGAGAAATTAGCATGTAACTGGGCACGGAAGTGGCTATGTTAAAGTGAGAGAATAGCATGAAATAACAGCTGACATAGGCCATGCTTTCCCACCTCATGACAGACGCTTGTGTTGCGCCCGAAACGTCGTGATTTATTTTATTTTAGTTTTATACCTACGTGACTTTACCAAAAGAACCAAAGAGTAAAGAGCTATTCGTCTAAAATTCGCAAAAAAACTTAACATTTCAATGCATGTGAATAGGAGATGCTGATCATTAATCAATAACGTAATGAAGCAGTCCTTAAATAGCCGCACGTTGCAAATCCCTGGTCTCGAAGAATTAGAAGCAAGCGGTTTACGACCTGAAGACAGGTCATTGAACACGCACAGGAGAGCAGTTTCGGTAGAATGGCCTTGGCAGAAACCAGATGACACGGGGTCGTAGAGACCGTGGGGTGGAGAGGTATTTTTAGAGATGGGGCAATAGAACCCCTCCCACGACTTTGGCAATGAAAAGGAGTAACGTTAACTGCTATTGGCTCATGATAATTCTCACAAGCAGGAATTCTGATACCTTATTTTTTTATGGTAGATGTAATGTAATAACTACTGTCAATTTGGCAACCAAGGTCACTGTTGAAAATTAGACTATGATAGTTTCTTGAGTTGTGATCTTGTTAAACAAATAAACTTGAAACGTAAGCTTCCAGTAAGAAGAGCAAATGGTGCCATGGTGGCGATATGTTAACTACCTTGCCTGGTATGCAGGTGGTCGTGGGTTCAATTCCGACCCTGACGCCTGTATATTTTGAAATTGCATGTTCTCCCTGTGGTTGCGTAGATTTTTCTCCAGGTCCTCCTGTTTTCCCCTCCAAATTTAAGATCATTATGCATTTAAGGGTATTTGGCCGCTTGTAAATTTCCACACAAATAACTTAGTTGAGCTATCATTTGTGGCCAGGCCGCTTCTGAAAAGAGCTCGGTGGGGCTGACCTGTTAAAATAAAAATCGTTTTTAGTTTAATTAATTTAAGGGACAAAGAACCATGTTCTTTAACTCAAAGGGAAGCAGGTAGGAGCAGATGCAACAGGCAAGCAGGCGAGGCCAACGCGAGGGTGCACCACACTCAGACGCAGGCACACCGGGGGGCCGTGCCGTACTCACTGATGAGCTTGCCGGCCAGGTCTTTGTTTTGCCGCGTCTCCTTCGGGTGCTTGTACAGGTACATGACCGAGCGGCCGATGCCACTCGACTTGAGCGTCTCCTGGGGCACGCTGGGCAGCTGCGTGCAAGCACAACCACCACCGAATTTGGTTGCATGCAACAGTCACACGAATACAACCGTGCTCACTCAAACCCCAAAGCATTCAGGCCACGATGCCCTTAAAATTGCAACTCATGTCAGATGAGGCAGACGTCCCTCGGCGGCCTAGTGGAGACCTCACTGATACCCTAACTTCTCCTAGATCTATCAAATTGCCCACTGAATCCACGCCTGCCACCGTCAATGAGACCTGCGATGAGGCCATACGCAGAGGTGATCGCAGATCAACGCAACGAACCCCGGTCGTCTAAAAGATATGATTGACACACTCTGACCGCACGGGAACAACAACGGCCGTCGTTCGCATTAAGTGGCGGTGACGTCACCACAGTGCTCGTGCCAGGCTAGGTGTACACACTGAGGCCACGTGAACTGTTGAAGACTCGCTGGCAGGTGGTTACGGGATGAACCCAGGGGTGCCATGGGTTAGCCGATTGAGTCGACTGAACAAAGGCACACACCCGGCGCGGCGACACGCGCGCGTGGACGTGACGCGCCGTCACTCACGTCCTGCAGGACCTTGAGCAGCTCCTCGCGGATCTTCAGGTTGGGCAGGCTCTTGTCGGGCAGAGGGCACAGCCAGTCCCGGATGGCCGACAGGATCCCGCTGTCGATGAACGACTCCACCAGGTCCTGCCTGCGCACCCGCGGGAGGAAGCGGCACACAGAGGTGGTCACCGCAAGCGGCACGAGCGACTGCACTAATGGCCGCACACGTTCAGTGACCACGGCCACCCCCACGAGCCATTGGCCCTAAATGGTTTACGGGTACCCCCAGCCCCAAGTAGTGGCACACACGAACAATTATTTTCTTGAAGCATTGTGATCTCGAGATCATGCATGTATGGATATGTGGGGAGCGGAAGTGTAGTGGTTAGTGTGCCGCACTACAAAACCAGCCACCGGGGTTCAATTCCCGCTCACGGCCAACACCAGTGACGATTATCTGAACCAGTCCTGGGCCTCCCCTAGGTCGACTCAGCGTACATGATGCGGTGTGTAAACATCGCCACAAGGGAAACAAAGGCGGCTGTGCGTGGTGCTAGCCACCCACCCGCTCGTGTGCCGTGCCGGCCTTAATTAGGTGCTGGCTAACAGCACTTGCCCCAACAATCTGTTAAGGCTATACGGAGGATCTTTGTACATGTGACAATTTAATCTGCTGGCTGTCGGGTGGTGGAGGGGTGTCATCAACACTAATTGGTGAGATCGTTAAGTGGCCTAACCTAAATTCAATTACGAATCATAACATTGAGATGACAAGTACGTGTTTACGCAATACATGTTTTCATTTCGCGATAACAGTGCATTGCAGGCAGAGGAGCAGAGCAAGGTGTGGAATATGGACTTGAACGATGGCGAGTGAAGATGCGACCGTACTTGCGGAGGTGTTTAATGACAGTGGGCAGCATGACCATCTTTTTCAAGGCAGGCTTCCTCTCCGTATTGAGCTTCTTGTCTTCCTGCGGGCGGTAGGGGGAGACAGACGGCAACTAACGCTTAGCTTCCGAGACATCTGACAAGATAAGGCAGATTTTTCGGGTCATTTGGTAACAAATGAAATATAATTTGGGGGTAAAAGCACAAAAAAGCAATGCAGGCAAATCGCCCTAAGGTGATAAAAGCAGTTTGGCAATTGGGTGAAGACGTGGCCAAAACCCCAAAGCTGGGTCCGCACCTGAACAATCAGTTATGCAACCAAATCTCTTCCGTCACTGCGCAACTCAAGCACCTGCAACTGCTTTGTCCGCATCTGAATAGTTGCACACCAAGGGCATGTCTGGGCATTGCTAAAGTCGGAATCAGAATCTATATTTAGACTGCAGGAGGAATCCGATGAGCTATGAAGCTCCTTTTTAACAGATGTCCAGCAAGATACATCAACAAACAATACAAATGCAAAACAGAGAAAAGATAAGAAAATCACAAAAAGTATCTACATTTCTGCCAATTCCTCTATCGCATAGTCATGCTCCTTTGTCTGGCTAACTCCCTCACCCCCCCAATATCAAAATCGTCACAACCAATCAAAGTTCACCAATGTGCAGCACGCGATGAAAGGCGTCGCTAAAAATTTCTGCGCCGATCAACGATGACAAAAGTGGCTCCGTCTCTCCGGTGAGCGACCAGGGTTGTGCAACGACTCGCAACGTACAAGCGGGAAGGATCAGGTCGCGCGCAACGAGTTGCGTGCTCACCTCCGCGGCCTCGTTCATGCGCGTGATCATGGCGCTGATGAGGTCGTCGGCGTCGCTGATGAAGGTGCCGCCATCGCGGTGGCCACGCCGCTGCTTGCGATTCAACTCGCGCTTGCGCTGGAGCATCATGTCGAAGTCCGAGATGAACTCCATACTGCGTGCGGGCGGACACACGAGCAGAGCGCACGGTCACCGTCGCAGTGGCAAACAGCGGTGTGTTTCATCTATATTATAGGGTCGCACTTATTACACACAAAGTCCTAGCCACAAACGAACCACAATACCTTGCCGATGTCATCAAGGAGCATAAAACCATCACGCAGGACTCCGGTCAGCCTCTTAGTGGCTTTTGGCTAGCAACCGAACAAAGACCGTCACTGTATCACACGCTTTTAGATGCGCTTCTGCGGCCGTCTGGAACGCTCTTCCTTCCGATATTAGGAAGCCGCTGGAGCTATGCACTTTTAAATCATTTAGATTGCAAACTCATTCTTTCAGAACTGATTTTTGTGTGAAGTTTTTTGTCCTTCCCCACACCTCCGATTAACACGGTTGGCTATGTATGGTGAAGGAAGTTCAATATTCATACATACGAGTCCACCTTTAACCCAGACATTGAATCTACGCACTTGAAAGACAGAAACAGGGGTGGAGACATGGATCTGGTGTCGGTGATGTACACTACTGTATGTATGTTGAATATTTTTCGGACCATACGTAACCAATCATGCTAAATGCTCCACATTTGGAAAATTTTTAAGTCGAGCCGCTGCTCCTCCGGATCGAGAGGAGCCAGCCGAGGTGGTTCGGGCACCTGGCAAGGATGCTCCCTGGTAGACTCCCCCTGGGACTCTACCGGGAGGCACGTCCCACTGGGCAAAGACCCCGGGGCCAACCCAGGACACGCTGGTGGGACGATGTCACTCGGCTGGCCTGGGAACGCCTGGGAATTCCCCTGGAAGAGCGAGAGTCCGTCGACAGGGAAAGGGGGGTCTGGACCGCCCTACTCAATATGCTGCCGCCACGACCATCACCAGGACAAGCGGATTGAGAAACAAACAAATGAACTAATTACATAATTGGAATAACTGGCAGACTAATGCCCACTTGCAGGCCCAGTGCTGTGTTCACCTTGTGCCACGCAAGTACAAGGTGCCATTAGGGGGTCTCCTGGGTTAAATGTTGCGCTATGGAGACCAAAAAAAAATGCAGGTACAGCATTATTATTATTATTAACATTACGCCTGTGCAAGGATGGCAGGGACTCACTCATTGCCCCTCCGCACTCCTTCATCCGAGTCTGACTCCGACTCCTTGTCTTTGTCACCGGAGGGATCTTTGCCCAAAGCAGATGTCTCCTTCTCCAGCTCCTCCTGTCCGAAACCCTGTGGAAATAACAGCAGCAGCAACAGCAATCCTGAGATGCGTTCGAACCACGTAAACCATTTCAAAAGTCAGGACCGATGGCTCCCTCCTTTCTTCCCACTCCTCATCTCAAGCCGTGCTCTCTCTGCATGTCTTGGGGACATTTCTCTGGAAATGGGGCGCCGTGGTAGTGAGACATTAGCTCCCTCGCCTACTATACCAGAGGAATTGGGTTCTATCCCGATACCGACGCCTGCTGTATATTTGGAGTTTGCATGTCTCTCTCCCCGTTGTCGCGTAGATTTTTCCCCGGATCCCCTTGTTTTTAACTCCACATTTAGAAACATGCGTTTAAGAGTATTTGGCTGCAATATAATTCCACGTAAGCTACTTCTTGTTGAGCTACCATTTATGATAGCCGGGGTGCTTTTTAAAAAGAGCTACATAGCCCAGTGGGCATTACCTGGTAAAATAAAAAATAAAAAGGTTTCAGGTACTCATAATCATACAATGCTGACATCTCCCGTCCACTTCCCCATGCCGGCTGTAACGGATGACCCAAAACTGTTCCCCGGGAACGATCGCCAAAGCTCTCCGTGCTCGGTGTCCGTCCACCTTACCGTAAACTCCTCTTCCTCATTGTCGGAATCCCCAAAGATGTCGGCAATCAGGATGCCCACGCCCGCCCTGGAGACACAGGCGGAGACAGCATTCGACAAAGGAGCAATGTTCATGAAAGATCAGCGAGTGCTGTGCATCGAAAGTCCTTTGAGTGCATTTTTGGGCAGGCAACACACAAACTAATTTAGCGTCTGCTGGAAGGTCACGTCACGTCATGTGTGCGGATGTTATGACGTCGCGTGGCGCAGTGACGTCACAACGTCTGCTCGCGTTCACAGATGTGTACCTCTCGTCACTCTGGTAGTCTCGTCTCTCTCTCGCTCTCGTTCATCTCTCATCTCATTAATCTACAGCTATTTATATCTCGGTGAAAGGGAGCCATATCTCTTGGTGGGTCTGAGCTTGGAAAGCCACTTCAAGAGCCTTTGTGGGGCACATCTGGCCGGTGGTCTGTCAGTTCAAGAACCCTGGTCTATGCCATGCCTTCCAGATCATTAATAATGCAGCATCATCATCATCAATGAGTAGCGTAAATAATCATCACCACTGCTAATAGATGGCTTTTTCAACAAGTAATTTGATCGTCTCATTGAATGTGCCCCCTGCCCCCCTGAGCCACGTACTCATCTGCAGAGTCGCTGTCGCTGCCAAATATCTGCTTCTCCTTCGTCTTGGTTTTCTCGTCGTCGCCCTTGACTGGGTCGTCGCTGCCGCTCTCCGAGTCCGAGTCCATCACTTTGGGTTTCCTCGCCGGCATCTCCCGCTCGGCCTGCCTCTCATCCTCCTCCTCCTCGCTGTCAGAGAGGATGGCCTTCTTAGCCGGTGGCTCCTTCTCCTGCCGCCCCTCCCCATCCTCGTCATCCTCACTGTCCGAGACAATTGCTTTCCTCGCAGGCGCCTCCTGTTCTACCCGCCGCTCATCCTTCCGCTCCGCTTCGTCGTCGTCGCTGTCCGATACGACGCGAGCTCTCCGAGCGGCTGGCTTTCCCTCTGCCTCTTCCCCACCACCGTCCTCGCCGTCACCGGCATCGCTCTCGGAGTCGGAGCCTCGACGTCGTTTCACCGCCGCTGCTGCCGCCGTCGCCGCGACCGTCGCTGGGACCGCCGCACCACCCTCCTCAACTCCCGAGTCGTCTCCGTCGCGATCCGCTTCGAGGTGATCGTCGTCGTTTCTCGTCTCGGCGGGCTCCGCCTCGTCCTCGTCGTCGGAGATCAACTGGCCGCGCTTTGCCGGAGGAGGGGAGCTCCTCGGGGCCTCATCTTCGCTCCCCGAGCCCGATTCGGCCACAGGTTCTGGTCTCTTCGGTTCAAACTCCCTGTCAGAGTCTTCCTCCTCGTTGTCCGAAACAACGCGGCTTCTCTTCACCGCTGCTGCAAACGCAAAGAAGCTTCAGCTGCCGAGGGGTGCGAATTATGCTGGTTTAAAACAATGTGTTACACGGACGTCCGGGTATAAAACGCAACAGCATTTCGCGCTTGCCTTCAAAACTAGGAGATACACCGCAGCCTCGAAACGCACTGACCAAATCTACCAAAACACAAAGGGGGACGTGACATCGCTGATCAGTCGTGTCTAATACACCGCGACCAAAAGTTCCATCGACTTACGTGATTTGTCCACCTCTCCTTCCTCATCTTCACTGCCCGCGTCGGCTTTTCTCTTTTCTGTCAAAACAAAGTAAGCGAAGATGCTACATTACTGATGAAGATGCAAATTACGTGAATAAAGATCAAATCAATGACGAGGTTAAACGTAATTGTTAATTGAATAATTTTGTGTCCCTTGCACCAACTTAGTCAGATCAATAAATACCATTTGTGGGAGGGCATAGGCCCATGCAGTCAGTAATGGTGCTTTAAAAAAATGATGCTTATAATGCATTTTCCTGTACTTGAATGTTTATCTCCGTCTAAGCTTTCCAGGACATCATATATGTTGCATTCTCTTCGTAAAACTTTTTAAAAAATTCTCTCGCAAGGGCTTTGATTTAAAAGCTACTTCTCCCATGTCATTAAATGGAAATACGCGGCGATGTATCTCCTCACCAGCAGTCCTGCCCTCCTCCTCGTGTGCGTCCTCCTCGTGTGCGTCCTCCTCGTGTGCGTCCTCTTCTTCCTCGTCGCTCCGCCGTTGAACGACCTCCTCTCCGCTGGATCGGCTTTCACGGTCGCTGTCAGCCGCCACCGCCTCTCTCTGCTCGGCGGCCCCCTTGTACGGCCGTGGGCGCCCGCCTGCCCCCTCGGCCTCGCTCTCCGAGTCAGTGCGTTCGCCCTCCTCTCGCTCCTCGTTTTCCAGCTCCTCCGCCTCATCGCCGCTGTCGCGGTCGACCTCCGGGCTGTCGCGATCGCCGTCCACGCTCTCCCTGTCGCCTTCCTCGTACCTGATTGATCGTGGGGTCGGTGTCGAACAATGCTGATGATTCCTCGAGTGAAACCGACGTTTTAAAAATTCTAATCAATTCGTGGATTTTAAATTGCGCACAGAATAAACTGTCAGTTTAGGATGCACACAGATTATAAGCAATTTTGTCACAAAGAGCAATATAAATAACATTACAAGGTGTAAGTGGGCATTATTTGTACTTCATGGGAAGAACAGGGTTTTAGTAAGGAAAACTGATATACCGGGGCACCCAACCCCCAAATTAACCAGGTATTGAGGACGCACTGCAACACGAGGCTCCGCTCTCTGCACACGGTCCGCAGTTATCAGCTCATCATCCCATGACGTCACACCTTTCCCCTGTCGTCCGACCGCTCCCCCTCATCACTGTGGCTCCTGCTCAGAGCTTGTCCCGCGTCGTCACCGTCGTCGGCGTCGTCGTCGTCGCGGTCCTCGCCCTCCTCCTCGCCGGACTCGGAGCCGGGCCCCGGCGCCGAGCGCTTGTACGGCTGCTTTGGGTTTACGAGAAGCAACGCAGGGCGGTTAACGACGACAGCAATCGTCAGTTGGCGTTCAGGTGACCACCCCTTTTCTGATATTAACGATCGTATTTGATTAAATGCGGTGTTGGCCGGTTGCGTAAAAACACCCGTAAGTGGAGGTGGCCAGGTGGCCCAGAGACCGGAGCACCGGGCCAGCGCAGCCGAGATCCTAAGTTCGAATCCCGGCAACCACCTGTGATTAAAGCGGGTTCTCATGTGTAGTGAGTTGATGGTCTCAGCCCATCACCGATGACCGCACACAAAAACTACCACGCTAAGCTCTGCACTTAATCTGCCTTAATTCCAGAGCCGATCATTAATAAATGGACGTATTGGCAGCACACCGGCGTAGCATAACACACCAGTCCTCATTAAACAGTCCAAAATCTAAATTTGAACCGACATTCGTCTTCCAACTGCTTCAACATCACGAGAACTAATTTTGACGCATGCCCCGCAAAATTTTCTGACCGCGTTTGTAAATCGTGGGGAAATTAATAATTATTGCGATATTTTTTTTTGCTTATCGCGTACCAGTGTACCGCCAATACGTTCAAATGTGGATTTGAATGTCATGCGACGAACATCACTCAGAAAATATTTCGTGGTAAAACGTTTTGGCACTGCCCTTGCGTTAGAGCAGTCAGTGTGGATCACAGAGATTGACTGACTTAGCAGATCGCACGTTCTGCAATTGTCCATATCTCTGCCCTCTCTACTCTGAAAAAGGCCCACTGCCCAAAACAAAAGTCGACTGTACACATTTTGCTGTGTTATTCGGCAGCAATTATTCTGAGTGTGGTCATATTTGGGGGGTGAGTTTATTAAATCGATGGATTATTAAACAGGTGTATACCCCTTCATGCAGCAAGGGTTTAAATCCATGTGTTTCATACGAAGCCAGTTGGTACCCCTTCAATGTAGGAAGTAGTTAGATGGTCCTCACCCCTTCAGGTTGTTCTCCGTCGCTGTCAGAGCCGAAGTCTCGCTCGTCCTGCACAGGGGTGGCCCCTCCATCACCTGCAGGAAGGGGGTCACAAGCGGCTCCGTGAATTCAACTTCACTGTCCTCAAACCGAGCTTCCTCTACCATGAGAGAAAGTAGCTGTTAATCTTGTATACCCAAGCTCTGCAATAGGTTGTCCAACACGTTTAAAGTTTCAATAATGACAAAGAGTATCCAGTAAAGTCTTATCGAGTCTCAAACATCAAGATGCGTGGCCAATTACTTTACAATTTGATCACTTTAATGTATCCAATTAAATATAATGCCTTCTGAAGGGTTTGGTAGTCAGATAACAAGATGCTCTGGAATATAAGACGCACCCCAAATCTTAGAGTCGGTGTGAATGAAGTTATAAAAATCTGGTCACATACACACATTGGATTATAAGACGCACTTTCGCTTTAAAATACAATACTGGGAGAAAAAGCATGTGTTTTAATCTGGAGAATGCAGTAATGAAAAAAGTTAATGTCAATTTCAACTTGTTCGTATTCAATTTATATAAATGTCCAAGTCCCACAGATTAAAGTGCGATCTCCAACGATACGTCAATCTTTATTTCGTCTATACACTAAAGGGCCGTTACATGAAACGTCAGTTTGGTATTTGTTCTAAGTATAAATGACGAATGCAAGTCAGTTTTTATCAAGTATTTAGATGAGGTTGACTAAGGCTATTTTAGAATGATTCATTGTTATTGTATGGGCTTGAGAGAGCCGGACTAAGACACCTTGGGAATTCTAGGGTAGTGTTCAAAAGTCTGAGGCTTAGTAGTTATATGAAGGCACCTTTAGCACCCTTGTGTTTCAGTCTTAATGTTAACGAATCAAAGCGAACTAAAGCGTCTTTCAGATACTTCTGGTTCAATGTTAATACCTGTGGCTTCGAGAGCCAGACATTATGTTTCAGTGTTAACGCGATAAGCTCACAAAGAAAGCGTTTCAAGAGCAGGAGAGACTATTTTAGAATCCGTATTCTTCATTAATCGCAGGGCCTCAGTGAGTCCCAACTAAAACTCGCGAAGGGTTCTTACGGTTCAACGCTTGCGCTTGAGGCTCACGGAGCCAGACCAAGACACCTACACGACTCACAAAAGAGGCAATCTCGAGTGAGGCACAGCCTCGGTTGATGTAAACGACTGCGCCCCGTAGTAACATCCCCTAAAGCGGTCCCCTCGCTCGCCCCCATCGGGGTTCCGCGAGTAGGCCGCGCTCCCGCCTCCCGCCTCCCTCTCACCCCGAGCCGGCCGAGCCGCTATCCGAGGGTCGGTGAGCGCGCGCGCGAGGCCTGCTTACTCGGGCTGGGCGCCTCCTCGCCCTCCTCGTACTCCGCTCCGTTGTCCGAGAAGTCCGCCTCCATGTGGGCAGCGGCGGCGGCGGGGAGGACGTCTCGGGAAAGGCTTCGGGGTGGGGGGGTGAATGGGGTGAGGGAACTAGAGGAGGAGGAGGAGGTGGAGAGGGGGGAGCCCGCGGAGGAGACGGAGCCCGGAGCCGCGGAGCCGCGGCGGCGGCGAGGAGGAGGAGCGCTGGAAGGCGGCGCGAGTGCCGCGAAACGACGCCCGCTGATTCGCGCCGCGAAACGACGCCCGCTGATTCGCGCCGCGAAACGACGCCCGCTGATTCGCGCCGCGGAACAAAAAAATTGTTTTTGTTTTTATGCGATACGATACCCGCCCGCTCGGACGATATCGCGATATATCGTGCGCTGCGTGTCGATATCGCGATATAGCGTGCGCTGCGTAACGATATCGCGATATATCGTGCGCTGCGTGACGATATCGCGATATATCGTGCGCTGCGTGTCGATATCGCGATATATCGTGCGCTGCGTGACGATATTGCGATATATCGTGCGCTGCGTGACGATATCGCGATATAGCGTGCGCTGCGTGACGATATTGCGATATATCGTGCACCGCGTGACGATATCGCGATATATCGTGCGCTGCGTGACGATATCGCGATATATCGTGCGCTGCGTGACTATATCGCGATATATCGTGCGTCGCGTGACGATATCGCGCGTGATGAATCCCGTCTGTCCGCGTCCTCTGGATGTCGCGACGTGGCGATGCGGCGAGCTTCGGGGCCGCGTTGTTGACACTATTACCCCGATTCAGAGATGCTCCGGGGAGTAAGACGTGGAGGTTGTTTTGAGAAAGAAAAACAACTAAAACTTTGGAAAATTAAAAAAAGTTATCGGGAAAAGCGGAAAACTATTGTGTAAAACGCGATAAAGGTACGATAATATAGTGTACGAGTAAGACTAACCAGTGTTTACTGATCACAGACCAATCCAGACCTCATTGGTCACCCCGTGCCCTTATACATCTCAACCTTCATCCTACAAAGTCCCATCACAAGGGGGAAACACACAAATCTCCCTGAAAACTCAAATCTCCCTGTACAAGAATATACCGCGTGGGTTGACGGCTACGCAGAAGAGTTTCGTTTCCTCTCAAAGTGTTTCTATTCAACTCGGTGGCAGAGCGCTGCCCTGCATGATGCCCCCAACAGAACGAGCATCACTACCAACGTGGTCACAGACACAACGAGAATTCTTCTTCTTCCCACGTGTATTCACATCGAGCAAAGATGCCATGACGGGCATTTAAAAACAGACATGGGGAGTGCATTCAAAGTGTTTGTTAGACATTTTTATTATGAAGATGTAACTGATTTAAAGCTTTCGTGACTGCAGGGATTCATCTTCTTGGTTTTTTCGGTAAACTCACGTAGAATGGAAATAATAAAATCATAAAAATAAAACATAAAATAATTCTCACGACGTTTCGGTCACCGAAAGAACCAAGAAGAAGATGTAACCGCTAGGAGCGCCTTTCCACGCCGTGCGCATTTAAGAGGGTTACTTGACCATATCTCCACCACACTGGCCCTCTGCTGCTCACCAAAGACAAAGATCCCCCGGATAGCATCAACAGCCTGTTGGGGCAAGTTCTGGTAGCGAGCCCCGATTTGAAGGCCGGAACGGGACACGATGGGGTTGGGTGGCCAACACCACGTCGCCCGGCCGCCTTTGTATCCCCGGTGTCGATGTATATACACCCCGCCAGGTACTCATTTGAGGCTGAGTCGACCTATTGCCCACCTGATCAGATTTAACGGACATTTATAAATGATTTCTAGCTCATTTTAAAAGTACCATAACTTCTAGATTTGAAGCTTTCGTGACTGCAAGGATTCATACTGTTGTTTTTTTTCGGTAAAGTCACGTAGGTAAAAAAATCTAATAAAACAAGTATAACCCGTAAAAACAAAGTTTTTAACTATAAATCCTTTATATGCGTGGCGGCTAGAGTCCTCTCGTCCTCTGGCTTGAGATGGCTGCCACCTATGGGTCAGATGATTGCATGGCAGCATTAAGCAATTGGTAATTAAATATCATATTTTTGTCCTAAAAAGTGTAACATTTTTGAAAAAAACTTTCACGAACATTAATTGTTACGCACAACGAGTCTGTGTGGAAAATGTCAGCTCGATTGGATCACGGGAAGTGGGTTAAAAAACGACCGAAAGATTTGCACGGTCCTAAGCAAGCAAGCAAGTGAACTTAATATAAAGGATTTAATAAATGAAACAACTAAATTAAATCACGACGTTTCGGGCGCAACACAAGCATCCTTCTTCAGGTGAGGACAACGTAGCGAAAGCACAACCGCAAAAAAAGTGACTTTACCGAAAAAAACACAAAGAGTAGCACCATAACTGTGAGAATAGGTTTTCCTCTTTTTGCTGGCAACAAAACAGGTGTTAAGATGTTAAAACACCAAACTAAAACCATTTACAAGGAATCATGTCTGCATTAACCACAATACTTGTGGTCAGAATGCAAAAAAACATACTCTGATAATATATGCATTGTCTTTGAAACTGATTGGTCCACACCAGAGACAGCTTTCTTTATTGCCAGAAAAAAAGGGAAACCCTAGATTTGAAGCTTTCGTGACTGCAAGGATTCATACTCTTAGTTCTTTAGATAAATTAATTTTAATTTAATTTTTTACCTACGTGACTTTACCGAAAGAACTAAGAGTAAGGAAAACCCTATTCTCATATTTAGGTGTCCTGGCAAAAGAAGTCCCATGATGTACACCACAACTGTGTTCATTCGTGGCGGACAGCAGAGGGCATTGCAGGAATGTCCAAAGCCCGCACTGGCCACGTGGTCAAGCGAAGTCACGAAACCTGCACCTCCCACACGGCCTCATATAGCAGTGGGGGGAGGGGGGCCTCATCCAGCAGTGGATTGACTAAAGGGGTGCACGTGTACACAGGTTACTGTCGTTATCATTGGAGCGGTGTTATTATCAGGACTGCCGTGTGATAACTAGGGCTCTCATTGCACAGCTGTCAGCCCACACGGTTTAACCCGTATTCATGTACAGGGCAATTACATTTTCAGGTCCATACGGCGTACAGCCGTGTCAATTGTTGTTGTCTATTTGTTTGTGTTTCTCCTTTGTGATAGGACTTTGTAGGATGAACGTTGAGATTGATAAGGGCACGGCGTGACCAATAAGGTCTGAATTGGTCTGTAATAAGGGCACTGATAATGGGTTAACGAGTATGTTATAACCACCAGATCTGATAGTGATATAGTTCATTTCAAGTTAATTTATTAGGTATAGCCCTGTGAGCCATTCGGCTCTTGAATCGGGTGCAACCGCAACAAACAAAAAACATGAACAAAAAAACATATTAAAGTGAATGTGTGTTGTAACAGAAGCAGTAGCATTATAACAGGATGGGAGTCCTCAATTATAACTGTAGCTTCTTCTTGGTTCTTTCGGTAAAGTCACGCAGAAGGGAATAATAAAATAATAAAAATAAAACAATAAAATACAATTCTCACGACGCTTCGGCCACAACGCTAGCAGCCGTCCTCAGATGCTATGAAGAAGGGCCACTACCCGAAACGTCGCTCTATTTTATGTTTCCATGCCATGCCACAGTGCTATGAAGGAGGGCCATTACCCGAAACGTCGCTCTATTTAATATTTTTTTGCAATGCCACAGTGCTATGAAGGAGGGCCACTACCAGAAACGTCGCTCTATTGTTTCCATGCAAGCCCACAGTGCTATGAAGGAGGGCCACTCCCCGAAACGTCGCCCTGCTGCTGCTGCCACCCACACGTGGGTGAGTGGCGGTGGCCCCAGGACGCCGCCAGCCGCTGCCGCTCGAAGCGGGGCCCGTGGGCCGCGCCGCGCGCATGCGCAGTGCGGCGCGGCCCAACCCCGAGCAGGAGACGAAATGGCGGCTGCGGCGGCGGCGGCGATGTCGGCGCAGCTCCCGCCTCACGCCACCCCACAGGGCAACCACAGCCACCACCACCACCATCAGCAACAACATCACCACCACCATCACTCGCAACAGCAGCAGCAGCTCCACCATCACCACCAGCAGCAGCAGCTACAACAGCAGCAGCAGCAGTCGTCACTGTCGCAGGGCCCGCACTTGCACCGCAGCGCGGAGCGCGCTCTCGAAGACGCCTTCTTCTCCGCGGCGCTCAACCTCAGCGGCAGGAAGCTCAAGGAGTTCCCTCGCTCCGGCGTCATCGACTTCGACCTCTCGGACACCACGCAGGCCGGTCAGTGCGCACCGCCACCCCCTCACCACCCCCCGTGGACTCGACTGATGGCCTCGTCTCATCTCACCTGAACTTCACCACCACCGCTCATGATCTAACCACTACACGTGACTGTGTGGCAGCCCCTACACATTAATCTGTATGGCAGCCCCTACACATTAATCTGTATGGCAACACCTACCCATTAATCTGTATGGCAATCCCTACCCATAACTCTGTATGGCAACCCCTACCCATTAATCTGTATGGCAACGCATGACTGTATGGCACGTTCTATCCGTGGTTCTGTATGGCAACCCTATCCATGGTTCTGTATGGCAACCCTATTCATGGTTCTGTATGGCACGTTCTATCCATGGTTCTGTATGGCAACCCCTGCCCATGACTCTGCGCTGAGACCCCAACCCGTGACCCTGACCAGGCCCATGACCGACCCTTTTGAACTCTGACCTCTGTCCTAACGGACATTCCATCCGCCTTAACGTCCACCCCATGTCCTCTACCACCTTCAACTCTACAACCACCTCGCGGCGTGCGGGCCAATCGAGCCATCACGCAAACACGCAAATGTCACAAATCAATGTCGCACACACCGCCTCGGGCAATCTCAACTCCTGTTTGCTACAGACATTATCATTCCACCGATGTATGAAGGCCTTCACCAC